GGACAATATATGGAAAACATGGGAACTGCCCGAGAAAAATACAAAGCCATCGCAACAATGTTTGGGACCATGTGACTAGATCGCGAGATCGAAATAGAGCAATTCATCCCACCTGGTGTAACAAGCTATATTCAACCACTGGATGTATTTTTCTTCCGTCAATGGAAATCATTTGTAAAGAGATTCACAGATTGAGTATTAGTTGATAATTTGAATATAAACTGTCGCCATCGGAATTCAATTATTAAATTACAATCATTGATTCACAACCAATTCAGCTCTGCAAAGTTTGAACCAATGATCCAACATGCTTGGAAGCAATCTTGGTACCCGCTAGATATTGAGATCTTAGATCATCTGGATAAAGTTATTTTTGATATAGCATTTGAATGCTGTAGCCTGGACAATTGCGACATTTCTGCTTTTATACAATGTTCTCATTGCCAGCAAGTTCTATGTGTTTTACATTTTTTCAACGAATACCATTTTCATAATTTGGAAAATTAGCAGTAAAAACACTTGTATTCCTACTTTTTTACTGCCCTCTATCTAAATAAAACACTTTTTCGAAAAAATTCTGACATGTAGCAAGGTTTTATCGTTAGTGCTCTCTTAAATTGCCCGAAACAATTAAAATCCAAGGGGCTTATATCGGGCGAATATGGCGGGTGGTCCCAAAGGGTGATTGCTTTATTTTTCAAATACTCAGTGACAACGGCTGCTTTGTGTGGTCGGGTATTGTCGTGAAGAAGCCACATGAATTCGCTACTTCTTGTACCCAACCAGTTGTCCAAATGTTCTTCCAAAAATTCTTTATAAATAGCGCCAGTAACAGTGATCCGTTCAGGACACAGCTCGTAAAAAGCAATACCATTGTGATCCATGGCCATAATCAACATCCTCTTGATCCCATGAATGTTTGCAGATACAACAGGATCAGGTTCTTCACCTTCTGCTACCCATTGGCGAGCTTGCGCTTGATCCGGCTCCATGTAAAGGCTAACCCATGATTCATCAATAGTAAATGTGCGTTTGAGAAATGTTTTGGTTTGCGATAGCATTCTTAGGTTGCTACTGACCCTGACCCTGGGTGAACAACCCTGAGTTGCCGCTGAAACTCTGTTAATTCATGTGGCACCCATTTGGAGAGAATCTTCCTGTACCTCAATTCATGTCTGACAATCCTTTGTACAGTAATATATGGTATTGATGTGTGGCTTGCAAGAGACCTCAAAGACCAATGCCTCGATGTAGGGAAACATTCTTTTATGGCCACGATTCTTCTTTGCTTTTCGCCTTCATCATTATGGGCTACCTTAAAATTCTTCCTAAAATTTTGAGTTACCCTTTAACTCTTTCCTTTGTTCCCTGACCATTGTTATACATCTGCAAGGCTGAATCCATGATATTCAAGTGTGTCAGGATTCGCTTCGAAAATTATTTCCAAAATCTCTAACTTTTCGAGAACCGGTCCAGTATAAAATTCGCTGAAACCCAGTTTCGCACAGTTCTGTCGGTGAAAGGCTTGTCGGGAAACATTCTTTTAAGTTCATTATGAATATGACCAGCGCTATAGTCTTGCAATACTAAATACTTGGTAATCACCAATCACTTCAACCTTAGAAATCTCGTTTCTTAATGTTGATTTGAATTCCATGGTGATAAAAAAACTTGAGTAACTCAATTTGAAACTAGAAGACGAATGGCGTAAAATGATGCATAGCAACTCAAATTCATTTAGTTACCGCTGAATGGCGCTGCTGCAAAACCCGGAAAATTTGATTGGGTCAGCCTAATAAATTTTATTTAAATGGAATTCATTGCCCACCAAATGGTTATTATCAATAAATGTTATTAAATGGCCTAAAATGTTACATACTACTAATCATATTTCATTTTTCTGTCAAAGGAAGTTGAGGTATCTTTTTTCTTATCATGACTATGAAAATATAAATTCATAAGATTTTTATTTTGATTATCTGACCGAAAGTTACTGATCATATCTGATAGATGGCTCTGTTTTTTTGGCAAAATAAATCGGGATTCCCTGTAAAAGATGTGATAGCATTATGTTAAACTGATTGATCTTATTGGTTCGATGCATAAATAGATTGTGTAAATTGTATCTCAAATTATTAACAATATTGTCTTTGTCATTATCATTATTGTCATGAACAATTTACTCTGAAAATGAAGTGGATTTTGTCTCTTGTTGTAGTTTCCATTGCCGTTTCCCGGTCCTCTCGAGTTCAAGCTGAAACACCATCATCTTATGATATTACGAACCAAAATGTGAGTAGATTGATTGTTCCTTTGGTTAGTTCAACCAATTACGGTTAAATGTAGTACCGACCATTTAGAGGTAAACTTGAAGAAGATAAAGTTTGTTTTCTTTGCTAATAAATGCTGAAAAAGAGCAATTTGTGTATTCTCTCATCAACCTTGCACCTTTAACCACTGAGCTACCCTTCAACTCTTATATTAATAGATTTTTAATTTTGACTTTAATAAAAATGACCAAATTTTGAACCCAAATATCTTAGGAACCACTGCATTAGCAGAAAAAAGCCTCGACAGTTTTTCATAACTCATCATCCTCTATCGAATGACACCTCACTCATTCAAAAGTAGCTCGGGTATCTCGATAACCTCCCTTGTTAGTTTGAAATGTTACTCCATTGAAATTGAATTGAAGGGCTTTTCTGTCAAAGGTTTTCAATAGTGAAAATTAGTACATTTGTGTACTCGCAAGTTACTATCAATTCAAAATACAAATGTAATTTTGCGACATATTTCAGAACACCATCTCTAAGCATCCAAATTAGAATTTCAATCTTATCATTCGATCATTGTAAGCCAATTACGTTTAACATTATTGCTACTCTAAAAGACTTAAGCAACGCATAGTCATTTAGTAATAATGGATTAATTCACAGATGATTGAAATGAAACGATGTATTAAGTAAATAAGGGATGATCACCAGCAAAATTAACTATGAGATTCCGACGATAACTTAAACTTAGCACCATTTTAATTGAAAAACAAAGTAATACTAACCTAAAAATTATATCTAATAAACTTCCGTTAAAAAAAGTCTAATTTGGTAACAATATGTCTAGACTGTGAATCGCTATGCAAATTAAAAGTTTTTACTTCCATTCTTTATCAGTCATACCTAGATATTTGAAAGAAGCAAGAAAATAATTGTTGAACGATATAACGATATGTACCATATAAATCATATCAGCTAGTCATGCAATCTAATTGAACATGAAAGTATGCAAAAATTTGCTTCAATTTGTTGAATAACCAGCCAACCAGCCAACAATAAAGATATCAATCGATTAATCAATGAACATCAGAGAATGAATCTGGTAAGACAACAGAACAAGATAGAACCTCACCTTAGAAAAAATTTACAAGATATTGTTGCATGAGGTGAACCCATTTAACCACTGAGCTAATGGTTAATTTAACAAAATTTTTATTAATTTTTGAAGTGTATTGTGGAAGCTGACATTGTTACTTTTGTTTAGATGAAATTTTTGCATTAAAAGAAGCCAAGAAGCAATGACTCTGCGTCATTTGAATTTATGCCACTATTGCTGTAAGCAAAACTGCTCACTTCATGAGTATATTCATGTTTTAATGTACGTAAAATGCCATAAGAGTCAAGTCTTTAATCATCAAAAAATATGTAACTGCATATACAAAGAAAAACGTTTAAATTCGTTCGGTGAATTTCCTTTATGCGTCTATTTTCATTCGACTGAGATTAGACCTCACCTTAGAAAAATTAACAGAATATTGTTGCATGGGGTGAACTGAATAACAGTGGAAAGATAATTTTATAACATTGATAACTCACGACTAGAAAACAAGATTCAATTTGAATAGATTGAAGAGCGATAACTTGGTGTATGTCGTAGCAAACGATTAGTTAAAACGAATAAAGATAACAGTTTCCTAGAAAACAGTTGATAGACAATAGACCTGACCTTAAAAAACAATTACAAAATATCGTTGCTTGGGGTGAACCGAATATCAAGATATTTTATAACACCGATAAGTCAAAACTGGAAAGCAAGATTCAAATTGAATAGAATGAAGAGCGATAACTTGGTGCATGCCGTAGCAAACTATTGTTTGAAACAGACAAGAGATAACAGTTTCCTAGAAAACAGTTAACTCGATGACGGGTTAGCAGATTATTGATGAACATGGAGTGAATAAAGCTATAAATCACAATTTAATAGATGAATAAACATGGTAAAGAAGATCAGAGAAGAATAGTGATCAAACTTTGATAATATGATCTAATTTATTGCCAACAAATCTTATTAAAATTGGATTTTCATTATAATTGGGAAAATCTTGCATTAAAAAGTGTTCAATTTATTGACTACAATCCGAAGTTTTCGCTCTCTCAAGTTTTCGTTTTCATGCTGTCATTCATGGGAATACGAATTTGGACGAGAAAATCATTCATAAAATACTCGAAACAATATAAAAAGTCTTCATCGAAGAAAGGAGTCATTCTCACTAAAAGTGCTCTGTATAACCGCAAAGCAAATATTTCATTGAGCGACGAATTCGGTGAGCTGACTGTGACTGACTATTTCTGGTGAAATTTCCATTTCATCAAATTTAGTTTTTTAACCAATTTTCTGGACGATTTTCCACACATAAAATCCTGTTAAGTCAGTTTGGCAGTTTACGCACCCTTTGAAATGCATATGAAAAATTTTGATCTGATTCTTAAAAAGAGCAAAAGTTACTATTTGCTACTGAATAACATATTTCACAAAAACTCCAATAGTCGCTATTACAATTGAATGTTAGACACTCGCTCAGACTACGCCAACTTCCGGCTGGCTAGTATAGTATGATGAGAAGAGATCGTAAAGTGAACAAAGGTCAAAGATTTAATCAATTATAAAGACTTCTTTTTGCCTTTGTAAGCATTAATTTTGATAATCTTTTTTCTTCGATAACACAGACAACATGGTCCAAAGTTATTCTTATTGGCGATTCAATAACTCAGGTAAATAACCTTTCCAATTTTTTCAGTTTAACTTTTATTTTTAATAAAGGAGCAATAATAAAAGAATAAGGTAAACTGCATTTTGTTATAAATATATTGACTGTAAAATTTTATACTGAATTCATTGCTTATTTTTTCCGACTTTCAAACGCATTTTTAATGCCTTGAGTCCACACACGGAAATTTATGCCTATGGGTACTTTTGCTTATTTTATATGTCCTCTTACAAATGGTATTATCAAATTGCTGACTCACAACGAGCAGTTTTACATAGGCTCGCTGCCACCCTCCTTTGTACTTAACTATGAAAATCTGTTATTTTGATGGATTCAGTTACACGTCTTATGCATTTTCAGATAACTCGAAAACAAAAAATATTTGTAAAATGGGCCAAAGCAATGAAACCAGAATGAAGTTTTACAACTAACTTGTTTGTGTTTGAACTGACGTGTAGATTTTGTTATGTGGAAATCTCTTGATTGAATGATATCAATGATATTATATATTTGTTTCTTTTCTGTTAAACAAATTACAAGTCCGGTTTTAATTACACTCTGTCTTGTCAACCCTGTTCTTATTCATGCACACAACTTGATAACATTTTTTCGTCCATTTTTTTCTCTAAAGTTTGCTTTCTTTGCTGAACAAGGATGTTGGGGAACTATGTTGGCTAATAAATTACAAAGGTAATCATAATTATTCATAGCAATTATATCGACATGTTATGTTAGGATTTTTATTTTTATTTTTGTTTATTCCAGAGTAAGTGATGTGATTGATCGAGGTTTCAGTGGTTATACCACAAGGGCTATTCGTGCAATACTACCTGATATTTTAACCAAAGATGATTATGAAAAGGCTGCTTGTTTTGTGATACTTTTAGGATCAAATGACTGCGTTGATAACACAACCTTTATACATGTTCCGCAAGAACAATACAAAGATAACTTGAATTGGATAATAAATTATATTAGAAGCCAGGGTGTTTCTACCGATAAAATTATATTGATGACTCCTCCAGTTTATCATAATGACGATTTTGCTAAAGCAGAAGGTTATCCACCAAACATGCCTGTACGACATCCAGAAGGATATGCTGAAATTTCTAAGAAAGTTGCTGAGGAGAATCAAGTAGAAAGTCTTGATTTGTATTCCATCACAAAAAATCATCCAGACTCAAGATCTCTCCTGTACGATGGTCTTCATCCTAATAAGGCTGGAGCAAAAGTTATTTTTGATTCTTTATGGCCATTGGTGCATAAGCGTATTGTTGCTTTCCATGGTACATTTACACAGAAGTTTCCACCCTTCTATGAAATGGAGAAATCTTTGAACAAAGACTGGAAAAATTGAGCTTAATCGGACTGGTACTGATCTTCAAGTTATCTGTGACAATATCAATAATAACATTTATCGAAATTGCAATTTGAACGGACAATTAACAATTTTGGGAGTATTAACATGATTTTTCTAATTAAAATGAAATATAACTAAATTTTGTCTTCGTGTTTTATTGACCATTATTTTCCGCTGCTGTTTCATGAAAATTTAATGCAAAAGAAAATTTTGGTCATTTTCGATCAATTTCAAGTAAGAGTTTTCCGCCTCTTAAAATCTGAGTATTAACCCAAGTCAACCAAAAATTGAGTGAAGGAAAAGGATAGGGAATCATCATACACCGTATGCACTAGACCTAACCCTGAGCAACTATGATATTGTTCGTATGAGAAACTGAATAGATTGAGTTATGTTATTCATTAGCAATTAACAGCTAACTCGGTCATATGATAAATCATCACGCCACTGTTAATCGAATACGGAAAATGGTATGTGATAGCATTATGTTAAACTGATTGATCTTATTGTTTCTTGCATGGATGGATTATGTAAATTGTATCTCAAATCATTAACAATATTGTCTTTGGGTCGCAATTTGCTCTGAAAATGAAGTGAATTTTGTCTCTTGTTTTAGTTTCCATTGTCGTTTCATGGCCCTCTCGAGTTCAAGCTGAAACCCCATCATCTTATGATTCTGGGAACAACCAAAATGCGAGTAGATTGATTTCTCAGATGTGTTTATCCATCGATTGATTGTTCCTTTGGTTAGTTTTACTAATTACAGTTAAACCCTTGCGGATTCTCTTAGTTTACAGTACAATACAGTACACAGTACAGTGTAGTTTGCAATGCATTATTTACTAGAGCATTTTGCGGCTAATCAAACAATCACAATTACATAAAAAAAATAAGTATATCTTGAGAAAATTGTATGAGAGTTGAGAAAACGATGAACATGAACATTAAATTGTTACATTTATTGTTGGTTAATTACTGCTTCCATTTAGACATGCAATGCATCATTCGAAAGAACGTTAAAAATTGTACAAAAGTTATTCATCGGTATTTGCATTCGCCTCATAATTGTTGCAATATATAGGTCAACATTTAGCTTAAAAGTCACAAAAACAAAGAAGAAGAAGAAATGAAAGGAAAGGCAAACGTTCTCACAAACTTGGACTTTGCTCTCGAGCAGTCGTGTGTCAGAACGGTGTGCTAGAGTGGGCTGCTTTTAGTCTAATTATGTTCCATTGGAGTTATTTCTTCTTCACATCATCCATGCTCATCAGCAACCATTGAGAAAACCAGCACAGAACCAACACCAAAACCAGCCACCACAGAAAAAATTACCTCTTCTGCGTTACAGGCGAAAAAATCTATAAGGAATTAACATGTAAAATTGACATCAAAGGTCTAAACCGTGAATACAATTAAGACAAGCAAACAAATATTTTTTTATTCTCATATCTAGTTACATCGAACGTGTAAATAACATTAGTTTGATTTTGTGACATCCAGTTATTGAGTTAAGCTCTACAAAATTTGGTGAAAACATGAAAGAGGTTAATTCCAGTGGAGAGTTAGTGTAAACATGATTTGAATGCACTAACTACACAGTTGTTAAGAGCATGAATAGCGCTCACTATCAATATATGATTTACAAGTATTGATGAAGGGTATGCTGAGATAGTGAGGCATCTTTGACGTTGATTATGCATTGAAGTTAGGAAGGTAAAAATCAAGATAATGTTAAACGAGTCAAGATAGTCGAAGTGGTTTATCAGTGCGTATGGATCGCAAATTTTTAGAATTGAACGAGTTAGTGAGAAATGTTTTGAAAATTACATCACTTTTAGCGTGTCACATTGAAGAAAGTAAGGAAAATCTGAAAGATTTTAACATCATGACGGTTAAAATCATGGAAAGTGTTGTTGTTGCTTCTTGCTTAATACCAAGCTACGGCTCACCTACGATATGGATGCAGTTATCGTGGATTATTATCTAACGCATCAAGATTTGATCGATGAATCTGGATGCAACGATTATTGTTGCCATCATACATGTAAATACATGTGAGTTTTTTTGGATAAACAAGCTGAAATATCCAATTCAGATTTTGAATCAGTTCTTCTTGACTAACCTTGTCGAATACGTCTCACCATCAATAACGAAGAAAATTTGTTTGATATGGAAGGAGAGAAAATGAAACTCTTGCAGCTTACAATATTGAACAATATTTTCATTCGTATTGTTGCAACTCTTTTCCTATGTTTAATCGAGCACGTTATAACTTATCTCAAACACGTGTCTACTTGCCATGCCGAGGTTTACTCTGATTGTATCGGATTGAAATGTGTCATCTAAAATTTAACCCATTTTGTAGAAAATAAAATCGAAATAAATTTAACCATTTAAGTTAATTTGAATAACGATTTCTCCAGGTAAGCTCTAATTCAAGCCACACTTGTTACAAAATTGACTCAAGTTCTTCTTTTGCTGATGGTTTTTATACAAAAACTGGTTTTGGGATTATTTTTAGGGTGAAACTTTCGAGTTGGCGAGTTTAAATTTTTTAGTTCGGTTTTATTCTTTTTGGATTTGTATTATTTAGCTGCTGCTAATTGGCACAATCATCAAGTTAAACATGACCATTAATTTCACCACAAAGAGGTAAGAAAGAATAAATTGTTACAATCAATATTTTAGGACTTCTACTTAACTAGAACAATAAAATGTCAGTACAATTGTATCAAGATAGTCTTTCTTCTACTGCGCGAAGGGGTTCGAATCGTTTCCAAGCAAATTTGACTAAATGTAGAGAAAAAAGAATTCAATATAATGGCGTGTGTACATATGCGAGAGTTCATCAACGCAAGTAATTATAATGATATAATTTCATGCTGTAATACGATCAATTTATCATTTTTTCAGCCTCTACCCAATCTTATATGAAGCAGATAAACCCAGTTCATTGTTTCTACTTTGGTTGATGATGGATATGCTATTTTGGAAAGGTATGTTCACTTATCAATCTTTTCAGTCGACACATATGTACTTATCTTGTGGTTGAATTCGCTCCTGGACATTCACTTTATCCAACTGGATTAACCATGTGTTAGGCAAACTTACCTGTACTCATTTACTGGTGGTTTGGGAGTTGGATCGTTAAGCTTCTTGTTTATCTTCAGATACTGAAAACATCCAGATTTCGTATGTCAATGCCTCTGAATCGGTATCAGAGATTGATCCTGACGATGAAATTATTAGTTTTGAAAATATAAAGATAAAAAAGATAAGTAATCCTTATGAAAAATACAGTTGATTTAAACAAATGAAAAATGAACGATGAAATGAGCAAACAAAGAAGATGAATTTAGACTTGTAAAGGTACATCAACGACTGAATAAAACATCAATATTTCCATTTTCAGGTTTATCATTTTCTAAATTTACAAGTTACCCTCCAATTTCTTTATGTGCTTCAGCTTTGGTTGTTTTTGGCCTCATCATCAATTTTTTTCAGGAAATAAACAACTATGTGTCACGAATAACTAAATACTTATACAGTCACGGACATTAATTTTCGTACAATTTCAAAGGCATATACGCATAGAGCTGATTATCGTATCAATTTAGCCTAAATTTTAAAGCATTATTATTGAGATAATTAAATATATGCGAATCATTCTTTGAAAGTGTACGAAACTCAATGTCCGTGGTATTTTATTTATACAACTAATGATGGGTTCATGTTTTTTGTTTATGCAAAATATGTGGGGTACTATGATTTGTTTAGACTATACATTTGCTTGGATCGATTAAAGCGGTTCATTCTTAGGTTGCATTAGCAGATCTGTTGTGGGATAAAAACATGACTTTGCGTGTTATTTTGCGGTTTATAAGCATATAGTATGGGTACTACAATGAGTAGTGGATAATAGCTTATGTTTGTTAATCATGTTTAGTGCAGGTCTATTTTATTATTTTCAAGTTTGGACTTTTAGATATTTGATATTGTATTTGGTATATTTTATTGGTTGAAAGTAGGGTCATATATAATTGATGTCTTTTTGTTGGAAGGACCTAGGTTGTCTATTCTGTGAACTGTTAGGTAGGGGGACTAATTGAGAAATAATTAGGATACTTTGTAGGGCAGATCTAGACAATAATATTAATTCACACTGCTAGTAACAGTTCAGATAGAAGGATCCAACTTCGTAGTTTGCTTCTGTTGAGTTTCATCTTTTTGGAGTTTTGTGATGAACTTTCTTGGTATTCTTTTTAGAGTGGGTTTTTCTCGACCACCTATTTGTTCAGAAACCCAATAATCGAGGAGTCTGTCGTAGGTCTCCGTATCCATTAGGGCCTTCTTGATAAAGGCAGCACTTTCTAGATCGGGTACTTTCACATTGTGGTACAGTAGAATGTGTTTTGACATCACGATTTTCTGTCCTGTTATAAATCCACATTTGTCTTCTGTGCAGTGCATGTATTCCGTTAAAACTCTAGTACCATCCTTGCTACTGCCAGGTTTAGCGAAGTTCTTTTCATTATCCTCTTTGGTTTTTTGTACTTCACAGTGGATACTACAAAGTAGCGAGTAGATTGTTTCAAACTTAGTGTCCAGGTCACTTGACTTTCTTTTACGCTGGGTTGTTGTTGTAGTTGGGCTGACAATTACGTGTTCAGCGTCAGTAGGTGTTTTGTTGGAATCCATTACCGTAGGCTGTAGCTGTTATTTAAATTCACAGGCAAGTTTAGTTGATTAATTTACTTAAAGGTTAAAATAACTGGTCACTTTCTAGAGGGGGTCTTGTCTTTTACTTCTTTGAGAAACTTGTGTTGTGTCTCGTTTCAGGTTTAGACTCGAAGTGAATGTTTTTGGTTCTTATTTGTCGCTCGCTGTTAGATGCGCATGTGAATAAATATTGCTGCTGCTGCCATCTTTGAATGAAGTTTTAGATGTTGCGGTTTCAGCTATATACTTAGCTGTCTGAGTCATTATTATTGTCCGTAGGAGAGGCTTACTCCAAGGTGAGGTACTTCATAATTGGGTATTTTGAGGTTTAGATTAAATTAGGGGCTTTAATGTGTTATGATAATAAAGAGTTTTGTAACCATAGTGCAAAGTGAGCACTTGCGCTGTGAACATCCTCAGGCTCCAGGTATTTTAATTCGGTTTGTAAATTAAGTTGATCAAATAACAGCATATATATTAACTTTGTGGAAGGAAGTGAAAGTTCTACGATTGGACAAGATTCAATAATAAACTTGATGATAAGATGATGATTTGATAAATGAATGAATTGAATTTGCAATTTTATTCATTTATATACACATATGTACTAAGTTTTATGCTCGAGTAGAAACTTATCTAATCATCCTCTTAACATTTATGATTATTATGATTGAACTTATTCGTTCGAGATCCAATCTAGCTAACCTAAATAAATTTTCATTGCTTTGTTGGATCTTATCCTTGAACTTTTTAAGATTAATATGTGTTGAATAAGGTCAAATTATCATGTTGAAAAGCTGCTATGATTTCTAGGGCCAAATCATGCTATCTATGTGTCACTGAATTTATTATGATGAAGATGTGAGGCAGTTTCACCTGAAATGATATAAAAATTTAGTGAAATTGAACTTAAATCACCAGTTACATTCATCTCATAGTCATCATAAGTTCATTATATTGTGCTTCATTAGTCTACAAAATGCTGCAAGTTTCTTCAACCATCGAAGATCTTTTTGGTGATTATACAATTACTTTTTCACCGATGGAAAGTGAACCAGCGTCAAAATTACCATCAACTTTACAATCATATTAGGGGTTTTCATAATGTTTTGACCTAGCCATGAAGAATAAGTTTGAGAAACAAACTAAACTATGTATCCTCCTCCTTTGGCGATGCAGGCCTGCCATCGATCAACCAATTCCGAAATTCCATGAGCGTACCACGCCTGGGGCTTTTCTTGCAAAAAACAGACAGTTTCTGCCTTTAATTCGTTAGTTAAGTTGACAAAAGTTTTTCCACGAAGGTGCCTCTTCAGGTTACTGAACAAAAAGTAGTCACTGGGGACTAAATCTGGCGAATTGGGTGGATGTTCGAGCGTATGCCATGTTAATTCTTTGATTTTTTCCATGGTTTCTGCAGCCTTATGCGGTCGAGCATTGTCTTGAAGAAAACATGGATTTCGCTTGGGTCTATCGGGTCGACTGGTTTTCAAAACTTGGTAAACTACTACCATCTGTTCTCTGTATTCCTTGCCATCAACTGTTTTACCACTATCCATGAATTTTATCATCAGGATTCCGTACCAATCCCACCAGACGCAAGCCATTGCTTAAGCGACATTACGGTTCAGTCTTGGTCTTTGGGAGACTTCTTCTTTGCTTTTTACCCATTCCATAGCTTCTTGCACAGTCTCAGGGTCATAAGTGTAGACCCAAGTCTCATCCATAGTCAAAATAGACTTCAAAAAAGCATTCGGTTGCTTGTTATACAAAGAAAGCGCAGCCTCACAACACGCTTTACGTTTTGCTTTGTTAGCCTCAGACAAAACATGTGGAATCCATTTTGTAGTCAATTTTTTGAGCTCAATATCGTTTCTTATGATTCTGAACAGAGTCGTAAGGGATAGATTGTATTCGTCTGCTAACCTTGAAATTGAAATCCGGCGGTCCTCTTGCATCTGTTTCTTAATAATGGGGGTTACAGTTGAATAATCAATTTCCATGGGTCTGCCAAGACTTGGTACATTTGCAGCCGTTTCCCGTCCGCACTTCCACTCGTTTGCCCAGTATTTAGTAACACTATAGCTGTGTGCATCTTGACCATATGTATCAACAAGTTCTTGATATATTTCAGATAACTTTTTTTGCTGCACAACTAAATGCTTTATCACTGATCTTATTTCAATGGTCGCCATTTTGAACTAAAAATTACTTTGTGACCCTTGTCTTTGGCACAAAGAGCTGAGAGTGACCACTACTTACCTATCGGGTCCTGCGCATCGTTTGACCATATTGCCCTCTTTGGGAATTAACTAGAACAAAGCTAGGTCAAAACATTATGAAAACCCCTAATATGTAGAAAATTTCATTGTGGAAAACGTGCAAGCAACCGAATGCTTCCTCGGCTTCTATGCAAAATCAAATTGATCAACAAAATGCTGCCCTAAAGGTAATGGAAAACATGTCAGCGACAGCTAACTTTTTGACTATTCAGTTAAATGAAGAATTAAATTCTTTTAAAAATATTGTGCATAATCAATCAATAATCTTTAAAAAAGTTGTTGTTGATTCCCAAGGTGACACTTGGGTTTAATATGGGAAATTAATTTTGAGTTAAATAAAGTTTTACTTTCATTTAAACTTTTTGTGATAACCGATTTCGTGTTGAGCCAGAAATGGCTTTTTTATACTACTTTCCTTTGTGTTCTCTTACTATTTGCTGAGAAACTAGATGAAATTTTGGTGATTTTCCCAAAAGGACAATGGCCAAAAACTTCGATTTCACCGTTAAGAGTTGGGACTTAGTGAGTTATTAGGGGCATAAAAACTAGGTCTATTAGTGCTATTGAAATTTTGTTTGAGTCGCCAGTTTTCGCTAAAATCGAGGTCAAAGTTGAAACTTCGAGAAACTTCAATCGCCTTTTTTTCGACGATGAAACAAGATTTTTTCCTGCAACTCATTTTCCTGGTGTAACTTTTGCTGCTTAACCAGAAAATGTAATTATTTTCGATGAAAAATTCTTTGTTCAGGTCAAAAACAGATCACTTCGCGTTTTAGTTAAATTCGAAAAAATTGGCTGACTCAACATGTTCACACATGAGTTTTACCGGTAAAAAATGAGTTTCAGATCTCGGACCCGAGCGGTCACAGAGAGCGGTCAATTTAACTGAAAATCGAAGTGATTTGTTTTTAATCTGAACATGAGAATTTTTTCATTGAAAATAATTACATTTTCACCAGTTACACCAGGAAAATGAGTTTCATGAAAAAATCTTGTTTCATTATTGAAAAAAAAGCGATCGAAGTTTCAACTTTGACCTCGATTTTATCGAAAACTGGCGACTCAAACAAAATTTCAATAGCACTAATAGACTCAGTTTTTATGCCCCTAATAACTCACTAAGTCCCAACTCTTAACGGTGAAATCGAAGTTTTTGGCCATTGTCCTTTTCGTCAAAAACTGCTTATTTTGCCAACTTTGTGTTTCGTTTCCCAAAAAAGGCTGCAATCCAATCCCTATTTATGGCCAATGGTGTATAATCGTATTGTTTCTTTCCTTGGTTCATTTACACAGAAGTTTTCGCCCAACGATGTAATAGAAAAATCTCTAACCAAAGACTGGAAAAATTGAGCTTAATCAGGCTGGTACTGATCTTCAAGTTATTCGTGTCAATATGAATACCAATACACATTGATAAGATTCTCAGCCCCAAGGTGCCTCGCTTCTTATCCATGAATATCTCCAATGTAGTGATCTAACATATACGTATAACTCTTTGATAATTACTGTATTCATTTCTGACAGTAATTGACAATTTTACAATTTAAAATCAAAGAGTAACGAAAGCTTCTCTACTCTCTAATTCTTTAACTAGAAATGTTTTCATTTGTTTTAGTTTCAAAATTGAATGAGCACAAAAAAGTCACAAGAGTAGCAACGGAGGGTTAATTCATTGGCGAATTGGATTAAGAAAGGCTGTGAATAGTCAATCCAATGGAAACAAACGCCTGCAACAATAATTTCAGCAGGGTAAGCAATCAATAGTTTCGATAAATTTTGTATGTTTAATTACGACAATTTTATTATTTTCATTCAACAATTGAGCTTTCAGTTTTTGTGATGATTTAACCCAATAAAAGGTTCAAAAGTGGATAACAATTGATGAGATAATTTTCTCTTTAATTCAGTTTCACATTTAAAATATTAGCAGAAGCAAATCTAATAGTTTAATTTGTTATGCTGGTTTTTAGAGACAATTAAGTTGCCCATTTCATCAGATCAACAATTTGTCATTTCATGTGATTATTCAATGATTTCATTTAAGGACTAGCGATGTAACAATCAGTGGCATTATCATTTACCCAGCTGTGAGCATCCATTTGCCACAACTATTAATCTTTAAATCTCAATATTAATTACATGATATTGAAAAAGTGGGAGATTGTAATTTGCGAAGGTTTGCTTAACGGATAGAATGGAAGGCAACAAAAGGGACAAAAATGTTTGAAATAAATCTCACAATTGCTGAACAGTCGGATTTCATGGAGAAAGATGATTCTTGTTCCATCATCTTTCTTTTTTAAAGCAAGATTCCACTAAGAGCGCAAGTTTTTAGTTTTAAAGTACACATAACATTATGTAGAAGCAGAGAAAAATGAATAAAATTTTGTTAAAAAACACTAGATCTGCAAACTAGCATTGGGACTGATTAACAGCTCATTATTATTTCGATGTATTGGGAAGTAGCTAAGGCTAATTTTGGCATTTGAAGACAAAAACAACGAAATATGGAGTGTCTTATTGGTTCGAGACATATGACTATCAGTTTGGTAAGATGATTTTGCAGATTGTTGGTAGGCACTTTTGTTTTTTTGCAAAATGAAAATTAAAACATGATTGTTGGAAGGGAAAGAGAATAGGAAGAGAAAAGCGAACAATGATGTTTAAGGAAGATATAACAGAGATGATGTCTTCAGAGATGACGAAAAGAGGAAGATGAGCATTAGAGTTATCCTTGTATCTATTTAAATTGAGGTGGTTGGCTGTTCAGTCGACGGTGTTGTTTCATCTGAAGGTACATCTGCATCAAATGACTCTTCAGTGGGTATGAAATAAGAGGTTTCACCAATAGCCTCATCAAGCTTCCGTTGAATATTTTCAAAACAATCAACTCCCATGTAATCAATTGCACCAGATTCCCAAGCTCGTTTACGACTATAATCATCAAGGTGCACCGAAGATCCAATAACACCAGGATAATGACTATCATGTGGCGAATCGAGACGTAATTTAGCTAACTGTGAAGCTAAGCCATCCTGTAAAGAGAGAAAATATTTATTAGTTTGAGTCAATTTAGTTTGAATGCGAAGCGATTGTAAATGAGTAAAGGGAGAGTAAAGGGCAAGAAAAGAGAAAGAGTGAAAGAGAATAGAAAGAGAGAATCAAAATATTAGCAAAATGTTAATTAAAACGGATTTTTTGCGATTTGAATATTTTAAGTGGTTTACCTACCGAAGACGCTAAACTATTACATGGTTCGGAAATTTTGTTAAACATCGATTGGTTGGAACGGTTGGTTGCATGACTCTCTCTAGTATTTAATTCAGTTGGATTTGATAATCCGATTGCCTGATCAAGTTTTTTCTTAATATTATCAAAGCTATCTAAGCCAAGGTAATCCATTGAACCCTTTTCCCAAGCTTCCAGTCTCTTGATCTCTAACAATTTTGATTCATTCACATTTTCATGCACATTATTTTTGGGGTTAAATCTTAAGTCATTGTTATCTATGGAAGAAGATCCATTATCATATCTATTTTGCAGGTCAAATGAACCTTGGTCAAAGTTGATCCGAGTTTGGTTATCTGCAATCTGATTGGGATTGGTTTCAGTTACCTCCAAATCTTTCTTTTGATAATCATCTTCATCATCATTATTTAAATCAACATTTTCAGATTTCCCTTTGGTCTTGTTATTTTCATCAAAATGCTTATCAACATCAATATTTTCATGCAAAAGACAAGTTCCCGTATCATGCTTGATTAGCTGTTTCTCTTTATGCTCTGCATAATCGAACGGAGGAGATTTACCAAAACAATCTTGGTCAATAATAGTGAAATTACCAATCTATGTAATAATGAAATTTAAAATTGGAAAGCAAACGAATTGTAGATAAGAAATGAAAACACAAAAGTCTAGTAATAAAAATGTAATAATACCAGAGGTTACTCTGAAATTAAAAAAATTCAAGTTGTAACTTAAATACATGCTCTAACTAGAATGAGTTAAAACTAAAAAATAACAGCAAATGGAGGTTAATTGGCAAAACTAAGTTGTAAAATCTCAATGGAAATATAAACTACGAAATTGAATTTCTTTGAATAGCTTGAAATCTTCTTTTTCACTTCATTCCTTCTCTTTTGATGCTCCTTTAATTTTCAAGTCTCATCATTTTCAGTTAAATCTATCCTTTTTCCTTGCGTAGTCCCAGATTATACTGTACAATCAATTTTTGTGGATCGAAACCCTGAATCTCGATTAATACTCACACAGTCGGAAGTTAAATTAGGTTGAACTTGGTTAATGAAAACACTCCACCATTTTTGAACATGTTCCAATTGTTGCGTCTGTGATCCAACTGGAGGTGGAATAACTTTTCTGGTCATGGCGTTGAAACCATACATCCATGGTTTTAATGCACCAAGGAAATGGACAACTTTAACTGTATCACCAAATCTATGCCAGTCATGAGGCCATAAGAAGCCAGGATTAATGATAGTTAAATAAAGAACATCAAGAGTCGAATCACATGATATAAATTGGTAAATAGTTCACGAGGCAGCAATTGATCCGGAAGTTTAGATGGGAAACAAAAACATGAAAAGGATGAAATTAGAAACACCTCTTGACAAAAATAGAATGTTGAGTGAGATGAAGGTTTAAATGAATTTCTTTCTTTTAACATCAATCTTGACTTTAAACTATTTTTGCTCAACAAGATAGATTTTAAAATTCGATATGCCGAGGAAGGCTGGGTTTATAAAAATCTGTCAATACTATCATGTTTGACAGAAGACAAAAAACGTCAGATATTTTAGCTTCAATATCGAAAGAAAGAGATTCAACTGGAAATGAACAAAAAGTATCTACGTGTATCCAGCAATTAGAAATAGTTTGTGGTTGTTCGCTATCTTTTCTCACCTCTGGTATGCAGCAGGATAAGAATAGGTTGAAACTGAACTCATATTGTATACAAAAGAGAGATGTTTAGAGATATCACTGGTAGCCCAATCAGAAAAATAGGTGTTCAACAATCCTTGATCACCTCCATCGAATGAACCACTTTCAGAGGCAAGTTTACATAAACTGGCAAATGTTGTTTCGCTTGGTCGAAATACGAATATTCCAGTATTAAAACAGTCAGGCCAGCCAATATCACAGACAGCAGATAGTTCGTCTCTCTCGAAGAGTTCATCAATATTCTTTAATGGTAAAGTATCAGCATCCATGAAAACACATTTCTTGAATTGCGTTAAACGCCAACAGTGAAGTTTGGTTAGAGTCACACCTAATTCAGGTCTCTTCATTACTTCGAGTATTTTGTGTTCATTGCTATGCATAACATCCACTTCTCGGACAAGGTCATATACTTTAGATAAACATTTTCTGTATTAAAATAAGATAGCATTGAGTTAGTACTTAATGAATGTAATATTCATGAAATTTATACATAAAACGAGAGTCAACAGAATTTTTCATAAAATGCTATGCGATTGCCATTTAAGTGTTTGTATGCTAATCAACAGAAATAAGTATTATTCTCAAGTTCATGGGCTAGGAACACTAGAAGTAGTCTAGGATCTACCAGACATAATAGGAGTGAAAATTAGTAGCTTGAATCAGAGCTTCCAAGAACAATTGAAATGAGATTCAAGATAAAACCAGGATTTTTAAAAATATGATTAACTCGCTACCGTGGGTGTAAAGAATAGAGGATTGGTTTACAAAGAATACATTACTTCACGATACGAACATAATTTCATCAATAAAATGAGAAAATAATTCATAGATACTCGTCATCAGGTATTACTAAGAATGGAGTATAAAGAAAAAGGAGAGGCTAAAAATGATTAATGGAGAGGGATAGAGAGAAACTCGTTGAGAACGACCTCGACAATAAAGCTTACGAATGCCCTTGAGATAATGAGACAGCTCAATGAAAGGGACTAATCAGTCAATAACAAACCACAATGAAATGTGACTATTTATGTAACGAATTATTAAGATTGTAACCTCATATCAGCGCTGACTGATGGCGTTACGAGTATAACCAGTTTCCTAGAAGTACCAACGTCTCTTAATGAGTGACCCAAGACAAGTGCACCAAGGCAGTAATTGTCATTTGTGGAAAGGGTAACGAAAGCTTCATCGCCTGAGAAATAAAGAGAAAATATAGAAGAAATTAGAAGAATTTTGTCAAGAATAAAGATCCATGGCTCAGATTAATAAAAATCCATGATCAAGGCGGGATACAAGTGTAAGGGTAAAGTTGAAGTCAACGAAAATTTATAACGTATTCGGTGTTCGTAACAGTGCTTTTTTGACGACGGTCAAAGTTAAACTTACTCATTTTGATGACTGGAGATTGGTAATCAGAATTAACTGAAAAAATGAAAAACAATGGAGGGGCAATACACGGATATACACTTGATAGAAGGGGTGATGATCAAATAATTTAAAAGCAATCACATAGAACAGAATACTTTATGAAGATCGTCCCGGTAAAAGGCGGAAGCAAATAAAACAATGAGAAGAAGCAATGAAACAAACAAAGAAATAATTACAAAGACAGCAAGACAGTTGAAGTAAGAATTGCAACGAAAAAGATTAAATGAATTAAGCAAGAAGGTATTAATAACAAGTATAATTGAATAGATAATGATGATCAGCAGTCTATTTATTTGTATCTCTTTACTAGTCACCTGAGTTTCTCTAGTGAGAAATCGTAAATGAAGTACTGATTGTTTCCACTAGAGAGCGTCAACTATTTTAATCGAATGCAGAGGGTTTTTTGAAATTCACGATTAATTCAATGATATTAAATTAACTCTCAAGGTTAGTCTAGGTCATGCTAACCCTTGATCAGACAAGTGCGTTGAAGAGGTAAAATAGCCCTGAAACATGTGAGGAGCATCGAGTCGATAATTGAACAAATATTTATTAATGAACTGTCATTGTATTTGCTATTTGAGTTGAATGAAATAAAAACACTAATTCTGTCGGTTAATCTGATCTAACATTAAAATTGCTTCATTTTCATTTTTTATCTTTCAATAGATATGAACAATTAGACTTCATTAAACATAAAATAAGCATTTAAGCTCGGCATGGAGTAATGTTTAACTGATTAGGTATATGATAAGTCTAGTTGAAATTGAAAATTGACGTCTTCTCCGGAATATCTGAAAGATTTTTATCTGATCAATTAGTTTAATGACAAACCTTGAATTTCAAGATTTGAAGCAAAACATAAAATTTTAAAAAAGCCTCGTTGTTTAGGGATTAAAATAGTTGTCGCTCTCTAGTGGAGACAGCAAGTACTGCAATAAAATACGATAAACAATCAGGTGACTTTAAGTAAATTAACATTGTTAACTTCACGCTAATTTTTTGTGGTCATTAGTCTAAATTATCTCTTTTTTACTTGTTTTGTTTAACGATTGGATTACACACAATCTTTCGCCATGTCCACGGAGCAAATCGAGGGTAAATCCAATGGGTTCACTGAACATGATGGAGACTCTGACCAAAAGCCTGCGAAAAAAGCTGCTAAACACGACTCTGGTGCAGCTGATTTAGAGAAAGTAACTGATTATGCAGAAGAAACAGAATTTTCATCCCAAGATATTGTTGGGGTAAGTAAATTAATTGACCTGGGTCAATCAAAGCAGACCAATCGGTACTATTCTGATTTATTCACTCTAATGTTTTCATTCTTTCGAACAGGCTATGAATCTCTTTGAAAGCAGACGCTCTATGGAGGCTGCTAAAAAGATTGCTCGACAAAGGGAACTCGCTAAAGTAGTTATTAAAAAGGAAGATGTTGATTTAATAGTAAGCATAATTGACGCTCTTTATATTCCTTTCTGATACAAATTACTGATGAATTCAACTTTATTTACTTTTTAGGCTAAGGAATTGGAAATCCCTAGAAGTGTGGCCGAACTCAAATTGAGAGAACACGGAGGTAACATTGTCGAAGCACTGATTGCGTTAACTAGTTAAATATTTTTGAGACTATTTGGATGTTTTTTTGCACCTGACTTAACCTGTAATCTGATCTGGCTGATAAAGCTGGATAAATTTGTATAAATTTCCATATGTATTGGTTAACCGGTTTTTGTCCAGTTGCCTACCTTTGCTTTATAATCAAAGTTTTTCAACTTGATACCGAACTAAACGAGTTAGAGTCATTTATTTTGTAGTGACACTAATTTTTGTTTCAAATTCAACGGGGAAAATTTTATTTACTATTTAAATATAACGAGGAAAAGAATGTAAGTTCTCAAGTCGATTACTACACTTTTCGAGTGTCAAGAATTGGGTGGCAATTTTTTCATATCTATAGCTTTGTCTCAATACATTTCACACCAAATTTACTCACATGAGATACACAGAGTCATGTGTTTTACAGAATTATGTTGATATCAAGGATAGGATTTGGTACACTTCCAAGTATAGTTTTGAAGATCAGAACAATTATAAAATGTGTAATGAGACACTTATTAATCTAACGAATATGCAAAAAAATATTTCGATGACTCAATATATTAACATGTTTTTAGCGTTATGTCACGCGGAAGTGCATGTTTTAATAACATTGTAATCCAGTTAGGCAAAAAACTTAATTGATTTCTTGTGACATTAAAACGTTTACAGGAGATACTTTATCATTAAAAATTATCAAGATCAAATGATAACAAATTTTTAAGTTTAGAAACGAGTGAAATATTTTCATTTGATTCAACTTGATCATCGATAGAATCTTCTCTTCTCTCAGACTCCGAGTTAACAGAAGATCCCTCTATTAATGTATTGAGTAATAATTCTTGAACGAATAAACTTCGTTCAGCTCGTTCGATATCTAAAGCTTCTTGCTCATTCACAGAGAGAATTGGTTGGGTACATGTATTGACTAAATTTTGACTTGTTAGAGTTGCAGTTGATGTAGAAGGTGTTGCTTCGGATGAAGCGATTAAAAGGTTATTTCCAAACGACGATGAGGAACCATAATGATGAGGTTGATTAAGGGTTACATTCCCAATTGTCGATACACCGGAGGAGCTCGGTGGCTCCCATGCAACTAAATAAGAAGAAAGAGGCTGTTGACTTGAGCCATTAGCTAAAGATTTGTATGCATAATTGTTTGACGATGGCTGAGTCGAACCAGAGACTGGTGTTGACGAAGAAGCTTGTTGATGCCTTCGGGACATAATTGATCTGCTAGCGGATTGTCTTTGACTAGCGGATAGACCACTACTATTGATATTTATGCCACTACTGGACCCACTACCAGAGCCACTTCCACTTGCACCAACAATGCCACTGGATATATTTCCTCCATTACCAACGCCAGAATTTCTCTCGAGTTGTAATTGCATCTGAAGTTGTTGAAGTTGATTAGAATGAGATTGGCCTAAATTAGCGGCTCTTCTAACTCCAGATAATTGAGATAATAATTCAGCAATTGGATCCATAGACTCCCTGCTACTGCCAGAAAACGTAGATAATCCTGGAGCTGAGCTAAATTGCATTTGTGATCGTCTAGGTCTATTACTCGACACACCGCGAGTTGGATGAGGGGCACGTCTCCCACGCATTGCTGTTTGTGGATCATCCCATTCACGTAAATGACGGTGTTCCAGAGCTAAGTGAGTAGCAAAGTCATCAGTAACGTGATTTGGTTCACAGTCAGGTAATGAAGCACATATTGGACAAATCACTTCCTGAGGTCCTTCCGAATGCTCAGCTACTACATGCTCATGTAGAGTTACTTCGGTGAAACCCATGCGACCACAGAAGGGACAGGTCAAAGAATAAGGTTGATCTGTATTAAACGTTTCACCGCCATAAAATATATCATAATCAGATCGAGTTAGGATACACTGCATTGGATGATCAGGTGTATGTCTAGTAGATCTAACACCAGATTCATAACAATTGGAGCAAAGATCATAATTTGGACAGGTTAAACACTTGTAACGTCTACCACGGAAATCACTTTTAAGGCACGCATCACAGCTAACACCCTCATGTTGAGACATTGGTCTAATGAAATAATTGGTCTATTGAATAATAATCAGGTGGCTTGAAATGTTGTCAAAAAACACTAAGAATATTTTATTATTGCAAATAAAAAATTTCTAGAGCCATACTAACACCTCCTATTGGAACCATGAACAATTACAGTTAAATCCTTAAATCCTTCCTTTATAAAGGGTGTTGAAGGATTTTCCTTTAATGGTATTGTGTTGTCTGAGAGATAATCTCAGTTCACTTGTTCGCACCTGATAACTATTGATAAGATGGTTTAGAAGAGCAAACTGACCAGTTTAACAAGCAGTGATTAAGAAGCTAATCTAATCAATTAGTCGCAATAGACAGTTAGTTTAAGTGGAAGAACATTATATAAACGGCTCCTTATTAATAGACTTGATTGAAATACCTTTCTTCTTACAGAGCCATCAAGTGAGGATTCAAATTGATTGGTAGCTTATTATGACTTTGGTATTTACAATTAAATGAAGACGCGATAATCATTAAAAATTAAAGATATAAATTATGATTCATTTTATGCGCTATTGAAATATAATAATAAAAATGCCTCTAGATGGCAGTATAGTTTTCCACGTTAACAACGGAAGTTGATTTCTTGTGTTGAAAATTACTCGGCATTTTGGATCTATTTTATTGGATTTTGTGATTAAATTTGATTAATAATTTAAAATTAGGTAAGTAAATTTTATACATTCAATAACAATTTAACTGTAAAAATTAAGATTTGTTAGTAATCTTTGAAATAATTTATAGTTATTCAGTTGTAAATATACATATCTGACCACTTGCCTTCTTTTCCTGTTTATCAATAGATTTTTATATTCACCAAAATGTCTAAAGTAAAGACCAAGGATCTCCGTGGTAAAAAGCGAGAGGAATTAACAAAAAAGTTAAATGAATTCAAACAAGAATTGGCCAACCTTAGGGTTGCAAAAGTTACTGGTGGAACTGCCTCCAAATTGTCAAAGATATCTGTTTTCCGTAAGAACATAGCTCGTGTTTTGACAATTATGTCACAAAATCAGAAGGAAAATTTGAAGAAATTTTACAGAAGGAAGAAGCGAATTCCAACTGATTTAAGACCTAAATTAACCCGAGCTAAACGACGTGAATTAACAGCAACAGAGAAATCAAAGAAAACAAAGAAAGAGATGACAAAATTACGCCGATTTCCTAAGGTTAAATACTATCTTAAAGCCTAAGGATCTTCTATTGAAATATTAAATTGATTGATTTGATTTGTAAGTTATCAACTCAAGTTGTATAATGTGTTTGTCTAATTTTATTATAAATTATCATTAAATGAACATGTTATTCAACAAATCATGCTTTCATGTTACCTCTCTCTTATATTTTACTTTTCATCACCAAAATTTTTAGGTAAATCACAGCGCTAACCATATTTTACAAACAACAACCAAAATCCATTTTATCAAAAATATCATTAACAATAGTTGACTAAAAGAAACTAAGCTGCAAATGAAACTTAATTTAATTCTGAAAACATTTAATTTCGACTTTTCAACTTATTAAAACATGTTAAACTTTGCTGAGTACGCTCAAGTTTCACCCATTCAATAAGTTAGTATCATTACAGTAATTGAACCTTGAGCCAACAAAATGCTGAACTTTTTGGCTTGAAATGTTTTTTAATGTTATATTTAATTCAAACCTATTCTCATAAAAGTAACCAATTATTCTGTAACCGAGTAAAGTAACTGGTTACTTTATTGCCTTTATCCCGCTGGGATTGGCGTTGACGATAAATATCGAAAACAAAAATATCGATATCTCAGCATCGATATTGATATTATCGCTCATCGCTGGTGTAAATTGTTTCACTATCGGAGTAAGTGAATGTTTTTGCTGGAGTTGAGTTTTGTAAAAGACTTAATTTTTTTCTCATCTTGTTTTTGTATACACTCATTTTTTAACTCAGTGGCCAATTAATAAATAAGTGTTCTGTCTTTTCTAACTATTTTAATCACCTCTTTTTTTAATTCTTATACCTATTACTATTAACATATATTAATACTTATATTATTATCAAAATAAAACAATGCAAGCTATTAAATGTGTTGTAGTTGGTGATGGTGCCGTGGGTAAAACTTGCCTATTGATCAGTTATACAACCAACGCCTTTCCTGGTGAATATATACCAACAGTGTTTGACAACTATTCAGCCAATGTTATGGTTGATGGTAAACCTATTAACCTTGGACTTTGGGATACAGCAGGACAAGAAGATTATGACAGATTGAGGCCTTTATCTTATCCACAGACTGATGTTTTTCTTATATGTTTTTCCTTGGTCAATCCAGCGTCATTTGAAAATGTCCGAGCTAAATGGTTTCCCGAAGTAAGTCATCATTCACCGAACACTCCTATTATACTTGTTGGAACCAAACTTGATTTACGTGATGATGCAAAAACAATTGAGAAACTGAAAGAAAGAAAATTGGCTCCCATAACTTATCCTCAAGCTTTAACCATGGCCAAGGAGATAGGAGCTGTTAAATATTTGGAGTGCTCTGCTTTAACCCAAAAAGGACTGAAAACTGTTTTCGATGAAGCCATAAGAGCTGTATTATGTCCAGTGCCCAAAATTAAAAGAAAACGTCGTTGTGTTCTGTTGTAAAGAAAGAAGATGGAAAGTAAAGAAAAGCAAAAATCAAAAAAAAAGACCCGATGAAACGATAAAATTGGAAAGATGACTATTGCTATGTCTCTCCCTCTATTTCTCTCTGATTTTTCTTTCCTTTTTTGTTCTGTATATCTCACTCTCCTCCGCACTATTCCTATCTTCGACTTCCTTTGCTTCTTCCTATTTTTCTTCCGCTATTTCTCTTGTCTCCCTCCTTTTACTTTCTAATTATTATTTTCTCGCCTTTTTCTTTCCTTTTTGCTCACCCATTTTCTTTAAATTTCTGTAAAACTAACCCTTCTCTTCCACTCTCTCACTTTCCCTGTCTCTTAGTTTTTTCTTCTCGTTTTTGTTCTTCTCACTGTTAATTTTCATCAAATCAATCAATTGAAAATAATTGCGCTGAATGATGTAGATGCTGATGTATCTGAAGCAAGATTAACCGGATTGAGACAGGAAAACAAATAAACAAAAAAAATTCTAAGCTAAAAAGAAGTGATTATCATTTTTTGTTGCAATGCGAGTCTTTTTCCATGATTATATAATTTGTGTATATTTATATATATTTATGGTAAGTTTTTTAATCCGTACGTGCACAGAAAGAAATATTAGTTGTTATTATAAAGAAAAATCAGTTGTTTTTGTTGATTTCATTAGAAGTTGAAATTTTTTTGGATTAGGGTGACTAACATTGTAGATGTTTATGTTACCAATTTGTGATTTTTTTTGTTTTTTGACATTATTTTTAAAAAGTAGAACTTTCTGGAGGTTGACTTAATTTCATATTTTCCTTCAGCGTCATACCCCGGCGAAGCTCTTGCAAAACAGTTTTAATGGAGTAATTTCTTTGCCACCTTGCTAACACAGGTATACTTCTGCGATCAACCTGGAATAAAGTGAAAAACAAGACATTTAGTACAAGTTCTTGGTAAGGTCAACAACCAGATTTCATCATAAGAAATGTCAACAAACAAGCAGTGATGTTTTCTTTTGTATCCTTTGTAAACAGATACTGGATTTCAAGTAAATAAATCAACTAACAAACTGTTTTAAAGTTTGTCATTAGGCCCGGTTTCATTTTTGCATATGCTTAATGGCAAGAAAACAAAACAGCGTTTTTTGATCGTGATGAAAAAATGATTCACATAAAGAATAAAATAAAATCCATCTTACAACTCCATTATTCTCGTTGACACCGTTCATTTTTATTTTTGAAATAAATCTAACAGTTGGAGGTTCGTCCGGATAATTTAAACCACATTCTACTTTAAGGCTGTAAATCCTATTTTCATATGGAGTCTGTAGAAAGAAGAAAAAATGAAAGTCAGTCATAAATCAAAACATTTTCGAGGGTGTTTTATCAAAGAAATGCATAAAAGCATACAGCCGAGTTTGCAAGTGAAAAGAAAAGTTGAAAGCAGTGATTTTCAGTCAGAATAATGACGACTGCATGAAAGACAATGATCATCCTCATTATGAGCATGAAAAAATGGATGATAATCAAATCATTTCCTATTCATACAAGGAATAAAGTAATCAATCTATATTTGGTGCGCTTATCTTGATAGATAGAATGTAGAAGGTAAACTCATTGGCATATCTGAGTGGTAAATCAGTGAAACAGCATATTTACCCTAGGAGGACCGATGATCATTCCAGTCCATTGAGTTAGAGTCATATCGGAATCATCTTGAAGGCCCCAGCTGATGGTTCCATCACTAACACCCTTCTGGCCTTGTTCAAGCTCCTCTAATAATCTGAAGTTCCTTGGAACAACAACGGCTCCTGACGTGTTGACTGACATGAGAATTAACTCTATGTGTATATATGGACCTGCTGAAAACAGAATAGATAAACAAATAATGAAACAAATAAAATTACATTGATCTGATTAACATCGACAAGCAAGTTGATAAATGGATGTCAAACATCATTATTAAAATATACTTACCAAATAAATAATTTGATTGACGGAGCAGTATAAAATAACGCAAATAAGTAACTTTACTTAGGACAATGAATTTTGAATTGATACTTGGTTAGAGATGGCGTGAGAACTGGTAGTCACTTCTTTCAATTATTATTGGCTTTTTTGGCGCCAAGTATAATTTTTATATTGCACTGATCAAAATAATATGAATAAAAATCTAATTACTCTGTAAATAATTTTAACCAAAAATTTAGATTGTTTAAAGGAGCAGTTGGGCATTCAAAAACATTAACTAATCATTGAATTTCAATTTATTTTATCAATATCCGCTTGAAACCTTCATAAAATTTCCATTTACAAATCATGTATAAATCGTTTAAAATTAGTAAATTGTAAAAGATTGGTAAATTAGTAAGTTATTAATGCGGCAAGATAACTATTCAAATGATTCTATTACAATAACTAAATAGTTATTGTACCCGAGTGAGCAATAATGCACGAGAATTTCACAAATCTCGAATAGCTTGTAAAATTGCTTCAATCTAATATTGAAGGTTAGTTATTGAAACAACTGAATTATTTTTTGGATTCGAAGTTAAAGAATTTTCAAGTCGATAAATCACAGAAATAGGCTTCCCATTCAGAAGTTTTATACTCTAACACTTAGCATCCCACATTAAATAATTGATGAATTTAGTAGTGAGGCTAACACAAAAAAAACAATCTTTTGCACTCGTCTTTGTTTAGTGTAATTTTATGAACGAAATACTATACAATACGTTATTGCCATTGTAGTGAAAATAATAATTTCAACTAGTAATTCAGTAATCAATGACATTAGTCAGCTGTGATAATTATCAACTGATCTGTTTGTTTGTGAATGGATCACAATGATTTGGTATCAAATATTAACAAATAAGAGTAACGTGAATGTATGTTTTGTTGAATAACATGTTCATTTAATGATAATTTATAATAAAATTAGACAAACACATTATACAACTTGAGTTGATAACTTACAAATCAAATCAATCAATTTAATATTTTAATAGAAGATCCTTAGGCTTTAAGATAGTATTTAACCTTAGGAAATCGGCGTAATTTTGTCATCTCTTTCTTTGTTTTCTTTGATTTCTCTGTTGCTGTTAATTCACGTCGTTTAGCTCGGGTTAATTTAGGTCTTAAATCAGTTGGAATTCGCTTCTTTCTTCTGTAAAATTTCTTCAAATTTTCCTTCTGATTTTGTGACATAATTGTCAAAACACGAGCTATGTTCTTACGGAAAACAGATATCTTTGACAATTTGGATGCAGTTCCACCAGTAACTTTTGCAACCCTAAGGTTGGCCAATTCTTGTTTGAATTCATTTAACTTTTTTGTTAATTCCTCTCGCTTTTTACCACGGAGATCCTTGGTCTTTACTTTAGACATTTTGGTGAATATAAAAATCTATTGATAAACAGGAAAAGAAGGCAAGTGGTCAGATATGTATATTTACAACTGTATAACTATAAATTATTTCAAAGATTACTAACAAATCTTAATTTTTACAGTTAAATTGTTATTGAATGTATAAAATTTACTTACCTAATTTTAAATTATTAATCAAATTTAATCACAAAATCCAATAAAATAGATCCAAAATGCCGAGTAATTTTCAACACAAGAAATCAACTTCCGTTGTTAACGTGGAAAACTATACTGCCATCTAGAGGCATTTTTATTATTATATTTCAATAGCGCATAAAATGAATCATAATTTATATCTTTAATTTTTAATAATTATCGCGTCTTCATTTAATTGTAAATATCGAAGTCATAATAGTCTACCAATCGATTTGAATTCGCACTTAATGATTCTTTAAGAAGAAATGTATTTCAATCAACTATCTTTTTGTTTCAAACCATGATATTTTTTATCAACTTATTCATGCAATTATATTCTTATAGCAATAATCAAGCAATTCATCAACAGTCCAAAATTAAATTCATGATAATTAGTTACATTATAACTTTTTTAACTCCTTTAGTCCATAAATTAAGCAAAAATAAAATTTACAATTTTTACAAACAAAAGTGAAATTAGCTGTTTCTGTTGAATAGAATCGCTTTTTGCTCATTAAAAGTAGCAAATTATTATTGTTTGTGAATTAAAATGGCAAATTACTTTCGCCTTCTCAAAGTTTGAACTGTTACCAGCTAATCCAACTACTTTGGTACATAATGCTAAAGATAAAATGAATGTACTCAAAGCTTCCATTACTAATCCAAATGATGATCGATTGGGTTAAATTGATGAGCTTCACATTAAACTGACCACTTCTAACCCAGTTATAATAATAGTATCATCTAAAAAGTATATGCAAAATAAAATAGAAGTAACAATCATTAAATAGTCCAGTCTACAATCTATTAACAGCTCAGTAGTTCAACTTTCAATACTCACTGTGTTGATCATGATTGACCAATCAAAGTTCATTGACCCACTACTCTTTACTTTATTATTAATCAAAAACCAAATCATCAGATTCACCTCTAAATGCCTACAATTGTTAGAGCACAATTCAAAATTAACTGATCGTAAACACAGAAAAAGTTGCAAACTTGTAACGAAAGGAATAACAAATCTTTCATTTTTTCAGAAAAATCAAGTCTAAAAATTAAAGGCAAAAGACAATTAAATATCAAGTCGATTTGCAGTTTATGGCATTTTAGCATTAAACTCTTGAATTGAATGATAATAAAGTGAAAATTGAAATAGTGTTTCTTTTGGGAAGATTATTAATGTTGAGATTTTGAAATTAAATTTAGAGTTCAATGGCCAGTTGGTGCATCAATTGTTGTTGAAATAAAAGGGATAAAAACAGTCTCCCGGAATAAAGTGAAAACTATGTCACTTTCGAAGGATGGAAAAGGATGATTACAATTGTTGTGGTTTTCATGTAGGTAAGATGATGATGATGATGATCGAAAGAGTGAATAATAAATGAAAGGCAAGAAAAGAAGAGAAAATATCAAGACAAAGCCGGCCATCAACCTTGATATGCTAAATTTCGATTGAGCCCTTAAACTTGTTCCGAGTGCCGTTATTATGATGATGATGTGAAGTAGGAGTTGGCCGGTGATTGGTAGACTATATTAGGATCGCCATTTGAATAGGTTAGTGGGACAGTGATTGTAAGCAGAACAGTGAAGTTGATTGTGAGTTGATGAAAACCAAAGCCAAAATAATAAAAAGAGAGAGTTAGATGATAATGATGGAGGTAAAGTTGAAGATGAAGATGATGATAGGGAAGGAGATTTAAGGAGGGAAGAAAGGAGGAAGATTGAAAGAGAGAGTGAGAGGAGAGAGGTAAAAAAGGACTAGAAGAAGAAAGACGATGAAAATAATTGTTGACAGAAAAAGTTTAGAAAGTGAGGGCGGAGGGTTAATATTTTTTTTCTTGCTTTTCTCTTTCGCCATCATCGAATGTCCACTTTTGGCCAAAATAATTCAGATAATTAATGATGGTAATAGTGTTGAGAATGATGATGAAGGTGATGATATAATTCAAGGTATTTTAATGGTTAGATGGTGAATGACGAGAAATAAAAAAAGATACTTCTTTATTTACAGTTTGTTACTTGTTCTCACTATCCTTTTGGCTCTCTCTTTTTCCTGTTGACTGTTGTTTCGCTGAGTTGGTCTTTGGTTCAACCGAAATGAACAATCCGAATTTTTCCAATTGGTTCACAATTTATTCTCCCTTTCATTAGCATGTGCCTCAAGTTTATCTTCATTTTGATCTTTTATTATTATTGCTCATCAATCTGGTTCAACCGTGATTCTTGTTGTGTTTACGGTATACCTCGAAAAAACGCTGGTTGCGGTAAACAGCATATTCCTCGCAACTCACGAGTGGTCGCTGGAAATGATACGTTTGACGGTGAATTTCCGTGGACAGTTTCAGTTCGACGGAATGGTGAACACTTTTGTGGTGGCGTCATCATTGCCAAAAGATGGATCTTAACGGCAGCTCATTGTGTCTACAATAAATCTCCTGCTTCTTTCATGGCTCGCATCGGTGAGTTTCATTTGAATCGACAAGACCACAACTCGAGAGATTATGCCATTGAAAAGATTGTCATTCACAACGATTATGCTGGTATCGTCGATTCCGAGACGGGATCAAAAGCTGATATTGCTCTTCTTCGAACTCGCCAAGAGATTCGTTTCTCTGAATATGCTTGGCCAGTATGTGTTCCTTCCTCTGAGATCTCTTATGCTGGACAAGAGGCCATTGTGGTTGGTTGGGGAAAACGAAGTGAAAAAAGTGAAGCTTACAGTGATATTTTACAGAAGGCTAAACTTTCAGTTGTGGACAACAAAAAGTGTCAAAGTTGGTATCGTTCATCGGGTTATCTTTTTCCCATTCACGATCATCTAATTTGTGCGGGTTATCAAAAAGGAGGACGAGATGCTTGTCACGGTGATTCTGGTGGACCTTTGTTGTATAAACTGGCTGATCATTGGGCCGTTATTGGTGTCGTTTCCACTGGTGTTGGTTGTGCTCGTCCATTGCTTCCAGGTCTTTACTCGAGAGTCTCTTCTTATGTTGACTGGATTGGAAGATATCTTGCAGAACGATGATCATCTTTCTGGTTCACCAAATGATCAAAGTTGATTTTTTGTTTTCTTTGTTTGGTTAAACTTTTTTCACTTCTTTTCAATCCACTCTTTTCATTAACATTTAACATTGTCTTTTAACATAAACTTTTGATGTAATCCATTGGGTTTTGATTTGAACCTTAATTCGATTCTAGTCAACCAATTGTTAATTGTTAACTCTTTTGTTTTTATTTCCCTCTCTCTTTGCCTTTGCACAGAAAAAAGTAGAGTGATATTATGAAAAAAATATATTGTTAAACGCTATTTTTTTAAAAGATAAAACTGAATTAAAGCTTTTACGTTAATAATTTGGATTTTATCTATTTTAGTTCTTGTTTAAATACAAAAGTAAACAATTTAAAGAAACAAATAACAAATATTTAAAGTGATGAAAAACAATGAAATGAAGATGGGTTTTATACGAATGCGAGCAAAAGATTCAAGTTATTCCAACAGTTAATTTGGTTTGATACTTGAAGATCATTTTGCCCATAAGTTGTTTCAAAGGCAACTTTTTCCTTTTCACAAAGTGATCGATTAACCTCCATGGAGGATTCATTCCATAAGGCATAAACACTTTTATCCAGGTCTAAGGGAAGGTTCTTTATATGGCTTCGGTATATGGTACAGCGGTCCATAAAGTTCCCGTAAAATGTGTTTTGATCGCATATCGAGGGGAACATCCTTCTCGAAGAACCATTTGAAAGCATCGACATTAAGTTCCTTCATCTGCTGAGCAAACTTTGTCAATGTTTTACCGATTCTTTCTGCATCAGCGCTGGTCGCTGACAAGAAGTCATACATGTGATTTATATGCCGAAATGCTAATGGAAGAAGCTTTTCTTTGGGAAGCCCTGGTTTAATTACTTTTTTACAATGATAATTATGAGGCTCTTTGTAATAATTCTCACAATGGAACTCAAAACAATCGAGTAAACAATTAGTTATATATTCAGTGTTAATTGGTCCATATTCTACTTGTGACTCATAACCCCGAACCAGTGCACAAATAGTTTCGTCGATTGTAAGGAAATGACATAAGAAGTAAAATAAATTATCATAATCATCTCGACTGATAATCCTCAGCATGAATGCAAGTTGTCCTTTGAGGTAATAGTCACTACAAATAAAAAAAAAGAATGAAAATAATTGAAAAGTGAGTAAAAAAGTGTAGCTAAAATTTAGATAAATTTACTTACTTAAAAATTCGAGGACGATTGGCATAACGAACCCAGACATTGTCTTTACAAAAGGCAGCAAGCAATAAAACTTCAACAGCTTTCATCTTAGATACGTCAATAAATTTACTCAGCCTACTTTGAAGCCACGGTTGAAGAAGAGCCAACAAACAGGGTTCTTCATCGTGAAAATTTGAACGAGCTCGTATCCACTCAAATTCTGAATCCGTTAACTTGCGACAAACTTTTTTGGTCATTACGTATTCAATAATACTGAGTATACCGTCCTTCCTACTTCCATCATAACAAAAGTAATCAATAAATTGCAGCAAATTATAAACAATATTGAAAGGTTCCTTCTTGACCAAATCCCACGGAGTGTCATAAGCATCAGACAAGCTTTGAATTAATTTAAATATTGAAAGTTTTGCTTCAACAGAATATAATGGGTCACAGCATCCATCCCAAGCAAAACATAACATAAGCCTTTCCAATGTGAATACTCTGGGTAGTACCGGGTTTTTAGCATGAGAATAATATGTATGAATTTCTTTGATGACGATCATTAAACCTTGAACAGTGACATTTGATGGAGGCGTCGAGAGTCGACTATTCAGTAAAGTTTCTAGACAAGTATTGTCAAATCTTGTGTCAACAACAGAAGCACAAACAGGAGACAATTCCATACAGAATAACTTGCATAAAAAAGGTAACATGGTGTGACGATGTTCCAGAGCATCAGCAATTATTCGTTCGAGAAAATTATAGGGAGAAATGTATGCACTTAATAAAATGTCATCCCGAACTTGATCATACATGATGGACCCAGACGAGTAATGATTTATCAGCAAATCGAGTTTACTTTTGTGTGGCTTGCCATAAGTAAAAAGTCCAAATAAATCTACTCGAGCTTTGAAGAATGCTGTAATACGTTTTCTAGATTTGAGAGATCTAAGAACTCTTTTGAGAATCAGAATAAGGTCATCCATATATTCAACTCTTTCAGATCTCGCTATAGCATTACCCAAGGCATGCATTACGTACGGATCTAGGTAAGTTTCAGATGAAACTACTTCCAAAATATCGATACATTTTGGTACTCCAGTGTTGAGAACTGCAATTGTGAGAAAACGACATTCCTCACGATCTGGAGCAAAGAAACGCTTGAGTGAAAAAAGCCCCCAGAAAGAAAGTTCAATTGCGTCAGCTTTATCTTTCCCTACGTCCCAGGCAGATTTTATGGCATCAAATACGTCAAACTTCAGCTGGTCTAACGGCCAAGCTTCAATTTCTGCAGCTATAACTTTTAGAAGCTCATAAATTCCAGAGATCGAGGCAATCATTTCAAGAATAGCAGCACTTTTTGGGTCTTTGAAACAGTCAATAAGAAGGTCCGCGTTAGAATATTGCTGATCAGGAAACAAATTCTTCTCTAGATCTGAAATAAGAGAACTTATTGATGAAACTGGTTGAAATCCTATTGTAATTTTAGGTAGTTTTTTATCAGATTGACAGTTATTTGGATCAACTGGCTTATCCAAGCCCCATTCACGTGCAGCCACTTTAGCAGTGTTTACTAAAAAGGCTTCAAGGTAAACATTGAGTATCGAAAGATATATATTTAAATTTTCTCTCAAGTCAAATGTTTTTACTGAAGATTGTTCTCTTAATAGATTTGCTTCTTCAAGAAACCTCAGCAACGCATCATCATCTTCGTATTTAGTTAGAGATGCTTCGATAAACCATATAACTTTCAAGACGGTAAGATGTGTATCACAAGAAAGTTCCTCCAGCTTGGTCAAGATGGTTTTGACTTGATCTTCGTCAGAAAAAAGAGCAAGAAGTTTGGATCCATATTTATACCATCCTTGATCACTCATGAGATCAATGAAAAAGGGTAATCCGAATGTGGTTTGAGAGAAAATGTCTAGAACTGATTCATAATAATATTTTGTTGGTTCCGTAAGAAGTGCATTTTCTCGCAGTACATTCAAGAAAATATTTTCCAAGAATCGTGATTGAAATGATAATTTATCACATGGATCAGGAATTTCTGAGCATACTTTTCTCAAGAGATGTCCGACATTTGACAACAGGATTTCGTAAAGATCTGGTTTCAACTTTCGCAAGTTTGGCAGATCTAATTGGCCTTTATAATGAGAAAACTTTTCTTCCAATGTTAGTCCATTGGGGTGATTTGTATCCTAAAATAGATAGAATCAAAATAAGAAAAATTTATCAATTTACAATATGACTATACTCGGAATAAGAGCCAAGTGATTTGTATTTAGCTTACCTCATCTTGACTGTTTAATTTATAGATGAGTGCGTCAATGATACCCCTACACCAGACTTCATAAAGGCCACATTCAAATTGTGGATCAAGGCATTCCACTTGACTCATTACTAGACTGCAAATTCGATCAAAATTAGTTACTCATCTGTAAAAAATAGTAATCAAATAATAAAATGGTGATTCAGTAGAGGAAATTTGGACCTGCTGAAAACAGAATAGATAAACAAATAAAATTACATTGATATGATTAACAACTAAAAGCAAGTTGATAAATGAATGTCAAATCATTATTAAAATATACTTACCAAGTAATAATTTGATTGACGGAGCAGTATAAAATAACGCAAATAAGTAACTTTACTTAGGAGAATGAATTTCGAATTGATACTTGGTTAGAGATGGCGTGAGAACTGGCGGTCATTTCTTTTTCAATTATTATTGGCTTTTTTGGCGCCAAGTATAATTTTTATGTTGCACTGATCAAAATTACACGAATAAAAATCTACTTTGAGTTTAATTTAACCAAAAATTTAGATTGAATAAAGGAGAAGTTGAGCATTCAAAGACATTAACCAGTCATTGAATTCCAATTTATTTCATTAATATCCGCTTGAAACTTCCAGAGACTTTCCATTTACAAATCATTTATAACTTGGTCAAAATTAGTTAATTGTAGAAGATTGATAAACTAGTAAGTCATTAATACGACAAGTTAACTATTCAAATGATTCTACTCTAATACACTTGAGTAGCCGGTTAAAGCAATTTTTGTGTTCCATTTAAAGGAAAGAGGAGAGTCAAAGAGTTACTGTTTGATTTAAAGCAATTTTCACAGCCGCCATCTATGATTTTTACAAATTGACATTTGTTTTTATAATTTTATAAAATCCTTTCATTACCCAAAATTTAGGTCCTAAACAAAGAGGAGCATTGGTTACTCTTTGGTCCTAAATCTTAAGAGCTGCTAGTTTCTGAAATTCATTATCATTAGATGGAGGCTTACTAAAAAATTGCTTTAACCGGGTATTCTAGTGTACTTGAATTGTGAGAGATTGCATTTTCGTCTTGATACATCATAATCAACTTGATCATTAACGACTTGATTATGGTTCTCTATTGTAAAAAAATATACAAACAAAAAAGTAAAATGGAAATTCGGGTGAAGTGACAAACAAATCATGAAAAAATTATTTACTTTTAAGTTAGTGTAAGATTTCTTTTGTGCTCCTTTTGAGTTCAAGTTACATGAATGATAAATAGAACTTATGATAAACTTAATATTGAACAAAAATTGAATTTTTTTCTATTAGCATGTTGATTGATTGTTTATAAATGAGGCAATGTCAGGTCTTGTTTGATTGGAATATTTTTTTAGAAGATGATACCCATCCATTTGAATCCGATGAATTTGGCAACATCTAAACAACAGTTTACATGAGATCACGTAAAAACCATTGAAGGTTCAAACAATCGGCTTGTAATAAAGTAAGATGAAAAATTAACGAATACGGATAGAGAGATACAAATTGATCAGCAGCAGGAAAAGAGGTAAAACATAGGCTTTGGTTGGATATTGAATCGAAAACTTGATTGAGTAAGATTAGAGTTTCGATAGTAATTCGTTATTTATCGGAGATAAATGATAATTTGGTGATAAAGTCATCAATCTGTTTTCCGTATAGATCAGGATATTTTCGATAGTGTGTTACATGGCGAGAGTGATTGAAATCTTTGACCGTAACATTGATACCTAGATTTTTCCATTCTTCAGCTAAATCCATATTAACCTTGGTATCTGAGATAGCATCTTGCTTTGAAAATAAAAGCAATGCGGGACATCTTAAAAAATTGTTGTGAAACATTTTCGAAGAGGCAACGTAATGTTTGGTTGCAACTGGACTCGCTAACCACATGTAGAATCTCATTACAATCTGAATTGCATCGGCTAGAAAGGTTTCACCACCAACAGAACGAGATACTCCAATGGGAGCACCGCTTACATCTACAGCACTATCGAAAACCATTCCTCTAATTGTATCAATTAATTTGTGATAGGCACTATTGGCTTCACTCTTCTCTAAGGCTTTATTTAAAATTATAAGGATTTCACCAAATTCGTAGGCACCAACCGAGAATCCATGGATTACGATATCAGAATATTTATTTCCTTCAGTTACCAGATAATCAACCAGATTTTGGGCAGTTTTTTGAGTGCCTACAGTAGGCAATAGAAAATCTATCGGGTTTGTATACACCGTGAGAACATCAAAACCATAATTCTTGATGTAAATTTCACGATATTTCTCTAAATTTTTCTCAGCAGCTCGGATCCAGGCAATAAGCACCAGTAATCGACTTGCCGGTTTAACCTCTACATCTGATCCTCCATTGGTGTTGTGATTGATTTTATTATCTTGATTTACACTATTGGCATATTTAATCGAAAGGTTTTTGTTAACAAAATGAACACCATGTTTATTGGCTTTGCCATGCTAAGATAAAGAGAGAAGGTTAACATGAAAAATCAATTAGATGTTGGGTAATTCTGGTAATATGATAAGACTAATTTAAAAAATACATACCTTCAATCTAATACTAATATATGACGAAGTAGACAGGTAGTTATGTAAGCATGGTTTGATTCCAATTTGGAACATAGATCGTCCAGCCCCAGAGAAACATCTCAAATGACTGATAGAAAAGCTAGCGAAACTCATGATGTTATTGTTAATATTTCCTAAATTTAACTTTGGTTGAGAAGAATAGATGTTTCACTAGTTGAGTTGATGGTTTAATTAGATGATTAGAGATGATGGTATTGCGAATGGATTAAAAATCGAATGTATGAAACAAAGGCATCCAGTAAAAAACAGGAAAGATAGAGTAAGAGATCAATACTGCACAGACAAAATAAAATCAATTCCAGTAATCCTGCTCTTTGCCAAATAAAATGAAGTATTCAATTGAATGATTTATTTGTCTACCTGTCAATGAATGAAACAAAAAAGAATTTAAGGAAAAGAAATATTTGATAAAATTAAAATATTAATTAACAGGTTACTAAGGGCGGGATGGAGATAAAGTGAATAAAGAGGTAGAAAGAGAAAAGAGGAGAGAAATATTACATGCACACAAAGACTGGAAAAGGCTGAAAATAGTTTCAATGTCCTGATGATAGGAACTGAAGGGAAAAGAGTAGATTCATTTGATACATTTCATATGAACCGGTTTGCTAAGAGTTTTAAGAAAACCATTAAATCCTGGTTAACACACATTACAAAGAGATTTAGAGTCGATACATTGAAAGGGTTTATCTGACATTACAAAACATGACAATAATCACCATTGATACATTGTAATAGAGCGATAAAAATTGACAACATTGTTAATTCCAGTGGTTCAATAGAAAGTAATGAGATTTAAAATAAAAATAAAACCAACGCACCATTCAACTGTTGATACCAAGAGCCATATCTAATAACTCTTCAGCCATACGCCAAGATTTGGTCCTAACGTCACCAGGCACATTGATTATCTTTAAATAAAGCTCAGGTAAGCATGGAATAAGGACTAATTAGATGAACATCTCTCATGAATATCTGTAATGTAAGAAAAAAGCTCAAGTAAATACAAAGAAATGAAGTGTCTTTGTTTATAAAGAGATGTTGGGAAAGAGAGAGTCACAGTTTATTAAGTGTGAGTGTACTTACAGCTGTTTAGGTATAGTAACATTGAATCATATTTGAGTAAAGTGTGAACATTTAAGTTGACTAAAAATTATGATGATCAAACATAGGAATGAGATAAAGTCAGAAATGATCACCAGCGATGTTGAAACCAATGAAATAATGCCAGTCACATGATCGGATAGTGGAGCCTTGCAGGCTCTTTTCACGTGTTGCCAACATGATCGTTATTCAAGAATTACATTAGCTGCATGTTAACCATAACCGTTGATCTTCACCAGCCAGTCACTCTTTGTGATACCCTAAAATTAACCAATTATAATTTTCCAATCAAAGGTAAACCTCTAAGTTAATTGTAAAAATGGGATTCATTCTTACGTTTACCTTAAAAATGTTTTAGAGAGGTTACTGTGTTTTTTCCTTCTTCTCATCTCTTGTATTGACTGTGTGAACTTTTTGATTGATAATAAGGTGCAAGATTAAGAAGATTTTCTGTTTACCTTTGCCTAAATCATTGTTGTCAGTTTTAATTAGTGGCGTTACATTCATTATTAAAAGGATTCACTGATGGAATCAAATGAATGAACATAATGTAAATTGAATAGACAACATTACTATTTACGTTAAACACAATCATTTTCGTTTTACTTGTTTTTTCTTCTTCTTTTCATTCTGCGTTTTCAGTTAATTAGTTGATCGCTAATTGAACCATTAAGAGTCAACAAAATTACAATTTGATTATAATTAGATTTTTCAACATCTTTAGGTTATCTTTGGCAAATGAATACCAGAAAAAGATGGAGAAAAGAGGACAATTTATTGAGAAATGGAACAAGAAAAAAAGAGTCTCTGAGACAATTGAAGTTGACTTTTTTTAGAACTAGAAACTAATTATATTGGAAAAAAAAGGGTAACATCATTAATGGAAGAAATCAAGTGAATATTACAAGTCATGTTCACAATTGACTAAATCAGTTACCCTTTAAAGTCGAGAAATAGATTATGTTATTGAAGAATTGATGAGAATGCTGAGATTACCATTGTAACAATACAAATCAATCTAATTCCACTTGGAAAGGTAGCTTTTGTTGCTATATCTTCAAGCTGAGATTATGGCTGAAGAGTGAAGACAGCACTTGGATATGGAAATATTACGCTAATATGAGATGTTTCACAATTTCCATAAACGTCCCCAGAGTCAGAATCATTACCAGATTATGAGTGAATCGTTGATAAAACATTTAAGCCTGATTATCTCAAATAATTTGAGATCCAAGTCGTTAAAGGAGATATACATTAGCAGCTGAGTGCGTGTTCACCATTAAAAGCATGCATAAATGGATGTGATTCATGTAGATATCACACAACTCCAACCGATTTTAAATTATCACATTAAGAAGGCCAAAATTTGATCCATCAACAATTGTAATAATGTCTTTTAAACCAATCCAAAGTAAAATCCAAATTTGACGAGCACAATTAGAAGAGAAAGAATCATCAGCAACAAAAAACAAACATTTAACTCTTTAGGTTTACCAGGAAAAAAGAAGCACCAGTAAAAAGCCTGAAAATAAACATTAATCGTTAAGAATACAGTTAACTATAGAAGTTTTAAGAAGGAAAAGATGAGAAAAAGGTTTTTGACAATCAACAAAAATCACAATATCATCACCATTATGATTTTTACATTTTTACCCTTTCCTTTTGAGCCATTCAATATTTCACTCTCAATTAATTTAGGCAAAGAATTTAACTTTATTTTTCTAACTTTTCCTTCACTTAGCACCACTTCAACAATTCAGGTTTTACTTACTTTTACATGAATAAAGGATGAATTATAAATGAAATGAGCAGAAAATCTAAAGATGTAAAATTTATTAAACAAAAATAAATTTCGTCTTGAACATTTTTCCCTTTGAATAAATCCCGTTTGTTTATTCTTACATCGGTAAACATAGATGGCACTAGTGCATACATATTGTGTAACCGATCAATCATATGTTTTTATACTTAATTTCAAACCTTGCTTTTATTGAATTGCTTCAAGTTTACTATTTAATTACGTGATTTCAATTAATTTGGTTCTTATTTATTTGATCTTAACGCTATCATGGTTCGTTTAGGGCTTGGAAGTGACCTTTATAACGGTGAAATGTGGGAAAACCTTTTACTTACGGATCCTCGACTCGAGAAGCTTTCTGGTAATTTGAAAAGCTTCTTTGATGGTAAAAGAGGTGCTGCCAATTTAATCACTTTTGATGACAATTTACTTTGCATCTGGGACAATCAAGAACAACAAATCTACTGCCTTGTTATGAAAGATTTTAAGCTAGTTAATGTCCAAGTAAGTTGTCTTTTGAAAGCTTAATTTACATAAATTCAACATCTAAACGTCTAAACATATTTTCGGCGAGTCAATGTCTTCCTTTAAAGATTATTATATTAACCGCCAATCTAATCATTTTCAGTCTATGGGTCTTAATTATTTGAGATCATATTTCTATCATTACTTTCTGGTTTTCAATATCAGTAAATTACATCTTCAAAAGCATAATTGGCGCCTTTTCACATCCATTTGAAATATTCAATCATATTTTCAAGGTTTAATTTTCTGTTATTTAACCGACGAGATGAGGCGACCTTTGACATTTTCTGATTCAATTTTATTCTTTATTTGCTCATGTATTTAACATATCTTTTTGTCTCTTAATGCACAGAACTTGATGCCAACAAACGCACCTTTATTTGATGTGGACGCTTTGGTTATGTCGCCTGATGGCAGACATCTTGCTCTTCAAGGACCAAGAGGTATCAATATAATGGAATTACCTAGAAAATTTGGTTCTCAAAATTCATACGAAAGTGGAAAAAGCTCAATCCTTTGCAGGTAAATATCAGAATCAACTTCAAACTACTATTCAGAATGATCATCTTAAAGCTGGAGTCTTTTTCCGATCTTCATCCAATATTAAACCTACAGCTAACTAGACAAACTTATGTCGCTATTTGATCGTTAAAATGAATTGAATGTCTTTTAAAGGACTGATCACAATCAAATTAGATGGTATCAAAGCCAAAAGAAGGTCAAGATTAAAAGGAAACTGAAAGAAAAATGAAGATGAAATCCAAATAGATACAATAGAATGATCACTTAAATAGTCTTTATGGCCTTTCTGGTCATCTCACTTAAATAAAAAGGAGAAAACGATAAACTTTTTATTTAGCTTTTGTATCTGCATTCATCTTATTTACTCGAAAGATCTGTCGATCCGAATCGAAATTAGCTTAAATGAACTAATTTAGTTGAAATGATTTTGTGTTGATTGCCGTTGTTAAACCATTCAATCAGCCCTTTGAACTCCTCTTTTTTTATCTTGACCAGATTAAGAATAATGGTTTCCATTGGTACACAATTGGCCATTCATGCTCTTATCTTAAACAAAACTTATTCCCTCTGAACTTGCCAAACCTTATGAACTTTTCTCAATCTTCACAATCAATTGCATTTGTTATACCGTTAAATTGTAATTGCCATTTAAATGGTATCTAAATAGTCTAAACACTTACATCCAATCAACTTAATCAAACAATTGTTCCAAGCTTATAAATTTTACAGAATTAACTGATAGAAACAATAATATAACAATAACAGTAATAATGATAAAATTAGTTGTAACAAGAAAAATTAGAGTAAAAGCTTTTTCCTTGATTAAAAATTTAGCCATAGATTTACAAATAACTTCAATGGTCAAACTCCTGTTCATCATTATTTAAATAGTCTTCCCCTCTCCAATTAAATCAGCTTTATCATGCCAATGATTTTACTTGAAATATCTTCTCATTTATCAATTGTTTCATCAAAAAAAGAACAGGATAAATTAAAGTTATCATGCGATTACCAAAGCTAAATGTCCATACAAAAGCAATGAAATTTTGTCACTTTCAACACTTGTAAAGCAAAGACAAGTTAATACAATAATGTTACAGTTAACCCTTTAAATTTCATCTTTTACCATTTCTCATTATTACAGTTTGAATGATGAATGGTTTGAATCGTTTATTAACTTGATTATATCTAAATATTAATCACCACCGGCGTCGTTTCTTACCATTGATCAATGATCAACTCTCCAAAGTTTCTAACTCTTCAATTTTAAAATTGTAAACTAAAAATGATCAAAATCAGATTCTCTCTTTGCTATTATCGCTTTGATTTCTTCCCCTTTTGTACATTTTACCCTTTCGATTTCCATCATCTTTCTTCCTTTACTCCTTTACACTATTATTTATGCAGATTCATGTTGATAGAGACCATATATTTTCATTAGCATCACCCATTTTCGCTATCAAACTTTTCCTAAACCCAATTCAATTAGAGTTCAACTTTTTTCTTCCTATTTTCTGCCTTTTCCTTTTTTACCCTTTCTCTTCTTCTCACAAGTCAAATAATTTCACCAATACTTCAATATTATTAAACAACACTAACACCATACAAACACAACAATAATATCTAACATCACTTACACTTTCAATCTCGTTTACCATGATTTAATTCAAAAGAAACGATAAGAACCATTTCTCTATTTCATCTCATTAGTATTTCCTACTTTTTTTTCGTGTAAACATTTTGTTTGATGAAAAAAAAGTGGCTCCAGAATTGAACAAATCTCATCTTAGATCATCATTATACTCTCTTAAGTTATCACTAGCATCTTTATTATTATTATCACCATTATTATTATACATTTCATCTGACAATCTTGTTGAAATTGTTTTATCATTTCAATTTATTTGCCCTCAGAATAATCCCTTTTTCCCTTAATTGAGATAAAGTCAACCAAAATCTTGTTAGTATCAAGATAATGATGATAATGATTATCATCAAACAAAACCACATCCAAACAACAATATACACCAAAACAGGAATCACCTCAATCAACAGTCTGATTATGATGATCATCTCTCCTAGATTTGATAAGCTTTAACCTAATGGCTACGTGACTTACCTTGTAATTACTGGTCATCTGATCCAGTTTATATTTTATTAATTATCAGTCAAGACTAGATGATTATGAGATTTGTTTTGAAGCTTGTTTAAGCAACCAACAGCCATATGATTTCCGTGATCAAATCAATTTACTGTTCAAAGGCTTTTATCATCATATGCATACTCTCAGTCTATTTAATGGTAAACCTTTGGATAATTGGAAATTTGTTTTTTGTTCAGAAACAGTGAAACTGATAGAAAGTTGAACCATCGCTATTACTGAATTGCAATATGTTTTATGTGTGTATATTTATTTGCTTGATGTATCATTACTGATGTAAACAGTGAAAATGATTATGATGCACGTAAAAACAATCATTCAGATGATTATTACAACCAATATATCGAATTATATGCTGTTTAATGTTCAGCTTATGTAGTTTTTTTTCAGCTTTTCTCATCCAATGGTTTATGATGATAAAGCCACTTCTTGATCTCTCTCTCACACACACATGCACTAATGGCCAATGACTAGCCATTTGCGGCTCTCGTCTCTATTAACTTGTTTCAACTTCGAACCCATTAAATGCTCTTGATTCTTGTTCATCTCTGAGTACCAACCCTTTTTATCTAATCATTTACTCTAATTTCATATTGCTCTTGATTACTTATGATCACTTTTTGGATGTGATCTGTAGTCTTATCCTGCACCTTCATTTTCATGTTAGTCACAAATACCAAAATATTTTTGATTGTTACTTAAATGATGATGATGATGATGATGATGAAAATTTCCAGTTTTTCTTATTTATATTTATTTCTTTTTTCCTTCCAATTTCTTGATATCGCATTGCTTCATGTGAGTTCATCTGTTTCTAGCAATCTAAAAGATTATTGTTACACTGTATGAATTTATGGTCAGAAAGCTTTGATGGTGATTATGATGATGATGATTATGATTGTAATCATGATATGGAAAAAATATATATATATAAAGATAAGGTGTCGAGAGAAGAAAAAAAAGTTCAATTAGATGATGTTGTATGATTGGGTCTGTATTGACTGTGGATTTGAACGATTTTCATGATGCTGATGATGATGATAATGAAAATGTTGAGAGTAATGGAAGAGAAAAGATGAATATTCTTGAGGTATCTTTTCATCTTCAGTTTTGTTACACTTTCAAGGGAAACTTTATTTGTAAGATTTGATAAAAAGAAGATTGAATGAATTTTCGGATGAAATGGAAAAGATAAAGATGTTTATGATGATAATGATTATCATTTGAAGATGAGTTAAATGAAGCACGTTCTGTCATCATTATCTTTCTATGAAACAACATTGAAGCAAACTAATGTTCCGTGAATAATTAAACAATCCAAACAACAATATGGACTGAACCAGAGTCTGAAAAGTTGCAGGACTTTACAGATGGCTCATCAATTGTGTTTACAATGGCTTTTCAATTTGAATATTGATGTTGACTGTTGATAAAAGAGGCAAAAATGAATTTAAATTAAGTCGACTCTGAAAGTTCATTGTTGATATTAATAGCTTATATGCATCTTATTAACTGATCATTATTAAAGTAACTAATGAATTAATTTTAAGCCAACAGTAAAAACAGTGTAACCCAAAAAAAAAATCCTAAAACGAGTAAGAAAACAAATGATGATTAGAAATTTGCAATGAAGTAAGAGTGATGATTATTATGATTAGATATGATGATGATGAACTGAGAGTAAAAAAAGATGCGAATGAGAAGGAAAAAGAGAAAAGGGAAAGTTATCGTAATTATTCTGATGAATGGTTATGATGAGAACTGATGATGGCTCAGTTACTCCTTATAATCCTGTGTTTTTTTTCATCTTTGCATCTTGGGTTACATTTGATTTGGATGGTTAGATGAAACTAATTTACTCAATTTGCTTTACTTAATGTAACTATTTTTATTAAGGAGCAAGACAAATAGACAGAAGACAAAAGAGAGGAAAGTATCGAAAGGATAACAGAATATGGAAGAAGATGAAGAAGAAAAAAAGTCAAAATTTTAATAAACTCTTATCTTTTCTTGCCAATACACTCTTTCCTTCATCAATCTCACCATGTATCCTCAACAATTATCCCAATCATCCTTCATTCCTCCTCTCACTTTCCCTCTTCATCATCCTCATCAAGGATAAAACAAACTAAGAAAAAGCAAAAAGCTTGTTTCACTAATTTCTTCCCTCATCTTCTCTCCTCTTTATCCTCATCCTTTTTCTTTCTTCCCTCCCTTTCTTTTCAACAAAAACCTCTTCACAGCCTTTATCAACAATGAATGATTCTAATTATCCAAATCAAATATTATGTATTTAAACTAATCACCAATCAAGTCCAACATTTTTCTTGTTCAAGTTTTCAAAAATTTTACCAATTCTCATGAGAAAGGGAAACTTGCAAGGAAAAAGCAAAAAGAATTTCTCTTTTCGAATCTTCTTCGTTCGTATTTCCTTTAGCATTTTTCATTATCGTTATGCTTTTCATTCTCTATTCAATGTCTAAATTGATGTGCCTCTTCTGTACTTCCGTTTTTCCATCTTTTCTCTATTCTTTCTTCTTCTCATTTACAATTTACTTGTCTGATATAATTTTGATTAACATTTTTTTCGCCAACTATTTTTCACAGTAAAAACAAAGAGCCTCATTGATACAGACAATACTCAATCAATGTCAATGCAATTAGTTAATTTTGTAACCTCACACAAAATTCAATTGAAGCAATACCCATAATAGATTTCAATTAATTTCATTGTTACCCTCAATTGTCTAATAGTTTTCCTCTTTTCTCAATCGTAATTGTTTTACAATAACAATTTATGAACGACTTTCTTCTTCTTACAAACATGTTCACTAGTTTTTACGCTAATTTGTCTCTCATTTGTCTCTTACAGGACCATTGGCCTTGCTGAAAGATTTTTTGTCTGTAATCAGCAAATTGCAATTTTGGAGACTCGTTGGCATCCAGGATCACCCTCAGGATCATCTCATATTGCAATCCTTACCAATGATGATTGTATTCGGTAAGATCTTGTTTCAATTGCAGTTTAAAATAAATTTTTCACACAAAACTGATGATCATTTTTGCCTAATTTAGCTTCAGCCATTCATTTTGATCAAAACAATTGCTATTCTCATTATTATTAGTAACAATTATGGTCATCATTACTTAATCAAGTCAACAAAATACTCATTATAGCCAGCAAACCATGAGCAAAATCAGTAAAATAGAGTTAAGAATCATTTAGGCTTAACTAATTCGTTTCATCTGGATGATGATCAATGAAAATCATATGTTATGAGCTAAAAAAATCGTCTTCTCGACTTGATTGGATGAATATAATCATGTAATCAGTCAAGATGAAAACTCTCAGAAAGATGCAGATTTTTTGACAATATTGAGCAAGATTAGTAATATCAAGAAATTACGATTATATTTAAGAAAATTGAAAATATAAAAAGCACGAATAGCTCAAGAATGGTTACAACTTTGACTTGATATCATTCCAATTATTGGCTGTTTGCAAATGTTTTATGTTGGTTAAATGGTATTATTTAGGATTATGATTATAGCTTAGCAGCGCTATCAATTTCACCTCTTACTTTGCCATTACTTGGTGTGAAAACATAAACAGGCAACAGACCACAACATGGCCAATAAATTGTTACACATTTTACTTACCGTTATCTTCAACTTTTCATCCTCTTTTTTTGTCTATCTTTCTTCAGCATTTATGATATTTCAAGCCCACATATATGTTTCCAAGAAATTAAATTAAGCGATCCATCTAATTCAGAGGTGAAATATTCTTCATACAAGTTTGCCTCATCTCTTGGTCAAATTGCAGTTAGCTTTGATTTTGGTCTACCAATTGATAAAAGGCTCACCAAACAAGACAACAGCAATGAAACTTTTGCCTCTTCAGCAAGTGCAGCTACATCTCAAGCAAATACAGCAACAAACACAACTCTGATTGAAGAAGATTCCTGTATATGGCCAATTTACGTTCTTAAAGGAAATGGTGATGTTTTGCTTGTCTATAATGATCTTCACAATACTTACTTATCCAAACGGATTTTGGGTCCATTGACAATGAGACCACCGGCAGAAGATAATTACGGTGTCGATGCTTCCAGTATCATTTGTCTTGATTGTGCACCAACACTATTGGCTATTGCCACCTCATCAGGAATGATTTACCATTGCTTAGCATTGGATAATCCAGAGGTGATTGATGATAATGGAGAAACTGGTCAAGGTCTTGAAATTCGTTCAAGTACATTTATTGGACAAAATGATGATTTGCTTCTCAATCTTGCAGATGAAACTGTTTCATCTCTTGTTTCAAAATCCCGTTACCCCAATGCCTCCAATATCAACCCAGGCTTATCCCGTTTATTCACCAATCCTCCAACACTGTTTGTCGTTGAAAGTTTAGAGCTAGTTTTAACACTTACTTCAGTCAATGATCAAGATGACTCTTCGCCTTTACGCCTAATCCGTCCTGCAGCCAATCCTCAAATATACTTTTGCTCTCATGAAGCCGGTGTTCACATCATCAACATACCTTTTCTTAATCGACTCAAATCATGTGAATTCTCTTCTCTCGATGATATTGAACAAAGCATCATTGAACATCTAATTTGCACAAAACCCATTGCAGCACCAAGCTCATTCGTTCCAATGTGCATTCCCTTAGGTGTTGCTCTAGTAGCACGTCGTGGCTTCTACTCTGTTGCTGTGCTACTCTCAACCGGTGAAATACTCACTCAAAGGTTGTCATCAGTTCACTATAAATATGTTGGATTCACCGATGAACCTGAATCTAAATCAAATCTGGACGACTCAATTAGCTTTAATGTGCACATCAATCAAATCTTGAAAAGATCAATGAATGCTCCTCACATCAAGTCCGAGTCCAACAAGGAACCAAGTAAATCAGATTGTCTCCAAATGTTGCTCAATACAACCGATATTTTAAGAAAAGAATATATCGCTCGAATGGAAAAGGCGACCGAAGTTTTGGTCAAACGAGCGTCAACTTTAATTGCCAATAAAAAGCTACAATTGGAAGAGATTGAAAAACTTTCAAGTGAAAAAGATTCCATAATTTCAGATATTAATGCAACCAGCATCAAGTTTGACGAAACATTGGAAAGGCAAGAGAAACTTTCTCAGCGAGTTGAAAGAATTTTGGAATCCATGCAATCCCATCAAAACCATTTATCGGAAGCCGAACGAACCTGTCAAAAGGAATTGGATGAGATAAGCCAATCAATTGATCGCTATTGTAACCGTTTGGATCAAGTTAGGTTAAAGTTTAAATATCAAAATGAATTAAAAGAAAGCGAAGCCACCAAAGGTAAAGGAGAAGATGAACGAAAAATGAAGTCTTCCATAATTTCCCATCAAGTAGTTGGAGTTAAAAAAATTTTAACCTCACAGTGAGTATTTCAAATTAAGTTTTCAACAGTCGAACCTTTCATTAATCAACATTTTTTGTTCCAAAATTCATTATTTCGTTTTTTTGTCTTTTCACCCCAACAGAAGCGAAGCTATTCAACAACTTGTAAGCCAAGTAAATGGATTGAAACAACACTTTTCCCAGATCAAATTGTTAACATGATTATGTGTTCATCTGAATAGATGATATTTCCTAATAAAAAGATGATTTTTCATTTTTTTACAAATTGTAGGCTCGCTCAAAGCCAAGCAAGTAAACTGTGAAACAGCAAAAAAACCATTTTTTACTCAACAAACAAAAGTTGAAATTTTTGAAAAATTGTTGTTTCCCGTGAAAATGAGAAAAGGCGAAAAAAATTTTACCCAATCTTGATCTCACTCCTTTATTCCCTTCTTCAACCCTTTAACTTCATTATTATTAATACAAATTTACACATGTAATATGCTGTAACATTTCTTATAAAACAATCGATTTGAAAGATCTTCTTTTCTCTCTCCCAGGAATTGGCAAGATAATAACAATGATAGTAACAATCATACAATGATAATCATAATTACAGGAATGTTGAGACTGGAAAGGCAAAGTTTACTTCGAAATTGGCTATTAAATGAAAGACTCGAGTCTAAGTGCAGCGAAAAAAAGTTGTAGCGCAAAAGTAGAGAGGAAAAGGTGGAAAAGATGTGAACAAAGAAAAGAAATGAGTCAATAATTTGACAAGTATTCCAATGAAAATGAGAAGCATGAATTGATTGAGAATGAATTTCTTTTCTTTATTTCATGAAAAGGAAAATGGTAGCGAAATATTTTAAAAGAATAATGAAATGGAAATGAAAAGATGAAATGAAACTGAAGCAAATGAAATGAATGTTGATTGAAGAAGTAAAAGACAGACTAAAGATGATGTAAAGAAGATGAAGAAGAGGGAGGCAAAGAGGAAGAAAAAAGTATAGACAAATTAACTCCAGAAAAATCTGTTTTTTCTTCTCTTTAATTAGATACAGAAATTGAGTGTTTTTCAATTTTGTTTTCAGAGAGAGTTGACAAAGAATGGCGTAAAGATGGATTCACAGGGAGAAAGACAATGTTAGATGAAAGTTTATCATCATCGCCATGATTGTGTTCATTTGTTCCGTAAAGACAGTGAATCTTATAATCATTTGGAAGAAAGAGTTTGAAACAAGGAAGAAAAGTAAAAAAGAGAATGATAAATGTTGAAACAAAAAACGAAAACTCACTCGACATGTTCCATGATGAAGATACCAGAAACAAGATGGTAAAAAGGGTTGAGAAGAAGATGAAAAGAAAAGTAAAAATGATTGCAAGATAATAATTGAAGATGAACATGAAGAAGGAAGCAAACATGAAGAAATTGTGATTGAATGTAAACCAATAATTAAGATATAGTGTTGAATGTTTTTTATCTGTAATGAAAATTCTGTATAATTGGGACAATTGCATTAACAATTGTTAGGCCTGAGGAAAAGGTGAACATGAAAATGAAGAGAAGACGAGAGAAGACAGAATCAAGATTAAGATTGCAAGGTAAAGGAATAGATAAACTTTTGTTACTTTTTCCACCTTCATTTTCATTCCTCTTCATCTTTAAACTTCCCCTTTGCGTATTTGATTATAAGAATCTAATTGTCAGATTTAATTGCCTTGAGCAATTTGATCATCAATTTGTTCCTTGTTGTTGTTTGGCTTCAATGTTGATTTAAATTGTATTTTTTTCTGCTGACTTTTTATTCGAAACTTTTCTTCTTCTTCATTCTCTAAATGATAAACAATTGCAAGAAAATTCAGTAAAATCTCAGTTAATTCAAAAAGTCCTTTCTTCTCGTTACCATCCAATTATTTGCTGCTCACTGCTAATTACAATTTGTTGTAATATTTATAATAATAATTAATTGGCTGTGAGTACAAAATTAATGAAGAAAAATGGTTTCACTTGCAATTGAGATTTGTTGAACTTTTTTCCTTCTTTTGGGTCTCAGATAAAAAAAAGTCTCAAATTTTGGTGCTTGGTTTGAGAAAGTAAAATGAAAATCAAATGATTGAATCAATTTAACTGTTAACCAATTAAAAGAATTAACTTGATAGATTAATTGTATAATCGTCTTAACTAGCAAATTTTGTGATACAATCATCGGAATTAAGCTGAAAATGAAAATTAATCTGAAGAGAATGAAAATGTTTATCCAAAACTTTCATTTTCTCAGATTTGCCAAAATTTAGATTCATTCTTCTTCTTCTATCATAATTCATCAAATGGTTAATAATAATTGACGGTTTTAATGATGATAATGGGTGGTGATACAAAATGAAAGTTGACTAATAATTGTTGCAACCTTCAAGTATTCAATTCCCTCATTGAACAACAGTGAATATCATTGTTATTAGATGAGAGTGAAAAAAATCCCTTCTGATTAAAGCATGTTTGATGAGGGAAAAGTTGAAATGCAAAATGAAGGAAGAAAGTTTTAACCCTTCAATGTCAATCTTTTTTTTCTTCATTTTCTCTTCTCATCTTTCGCTTTATCATCCCTGTCAATATCATCATTATTCTTGTCCTCATCATGTTTCCTCCTTCTTGTCCCACTGTCAACCTTTTTTTGTTTAAAAACCCTTTTCTCTCTATTATCATCATTATTATTCCTTGTTTCTCATGAAACCTTTTTTATCCTTTTTTATTGTTTAACATTTGAACAACAACAAATGATTGTGTTCACTTGAATCGCCCTTTTAATAGAAACTCATTTCTTTCTAATCATTTTTTTCTTCTTCTTCATCATCTTCTTTTCCATATTCAACCACATTATTCAATTGATTCGCCTTCATCACTTTTCATCATCAACATTGTTCTCGTCATATCATGATGATGATGATGTATAAGTGATCAAAAAGAAAGCATTCCTTTGAGATGGAGAAAGGCAATTGAAAGTTTCTTGTTGCATGGTTAATTTGATTTGGACATGAAATGGTTTGAATTGAAAAAGACGCTTCAATGAGAACGAGTTAACAAGCTGAAAAGAGTTGAACAACAAACTTGTTAACTTGTTGGCACAACTGAATCACAGTAATCGCCTACAAAAACAACATTTCAATCAACTTACAATCTCAACTCTTCTCACTCAACAGATAAATACTTTTCAGATTCCATTTTTTCGTTTTTTGACTGTGAACATTTTTTAAAGCTTCATTTAATGGGATCAGATTAAGATGAAGATGAAGAAGGTTAGAAGCCAACAATTAGCACAGCGATTGTGCTACCCAAGAAGGGCAACTATTTATCTTCCATAATCCAGTCTTTTATCCGCATACGATGCTCGTTACCGAATTTGGTCGCGAACTGGTGAAAAATACGCGTTAAAAATATGACAGTTCAAAGTCAGGTCGAAACTGAATGGTCAACAATGATCTATCGTGAAGCACCAAATGAACATTTAAAAACCTTTATTTAATGGTTCGCCGTTAGCTATGAATTATTATCGAAACTGTTTGAAATTGAGTCTTTTTTGAAAGTCAATCCTAGTAGAGTTCAAGATAATAAACAGTCGATATCAACTTACAGTTGATTATCAGTCCATTTTTGAATGAACAAGAAAATGGGTTCAAAATATTCTTCAATAAACTAACAATTTCATTGTAAATTGTAGAAGAAGAAGCTTTTCACTCCAAGAAAGCACGAATTTCTCCTCTCATCATCACCCTGATGATAACCATTAATATTGAACTTGACCTCTTCCTGATTTATTTCACTTTCATCTTACAACTGAACAAAAGTGCTCAAGAGACTTTTAGCCTGACATTTCATTATTGAAATTGAAGCCAAACAAGAAGAAAAGGGCCACAAAAATGGTCAGCAATAAAATAGATTACAAATTATCGAATTTTCTGTTCAACTTTTATTCAACTCGACTGAATTATATTGAAATCAAGTGAACAGCAAATCACCAAAAAAGCAAAGTGAACAAAGTTTCCAGTTTTGTATCCATCCAAAGTTAGCAAAATGTTTTTTGATTTATAAAGATGATAAAATCTTGAAAAGGATAACAAGTTCAGTTGATTATCATCATGTTCAATGAAATTTATGGCCATTTCTCAGTTTTTTGCTCTTCTCTTTCCCCATCTTATTCCATAACCATTCAGTTCTTTTCATTTAATTCAATGAATAAATTTATCAATGATCCTTTTCCTTCCTCCATCCTATTCACATACATTTACTTATTTAATACAAATATGAAATTCATTTTCAGTCATCTTTACGTTCATTTTTTTTCTCATAATCAAAATAATAATGAATAAAGATTTTCTTTGAACAACAGCGAAAAAATTGAACAAAAAAGGACTGAAATTCAATGAATAGAAATGGACAGAAGATTTTCACAGATCTTCTCCATGAATCATTGATTGTAATCAATCTTTATCAAGTCTGCACTTGCCATTGCAACTTCATCAATGTCCAGTTATTTTGGCTGAATACTAATAACAGTTGAACCATTTTTGAGTAAATATTTGAAGAGTAAAAGTTTTGAGAAACATTTTTTTTCCTTTACTTTTTTCAATTTTTACATTTTCTGTTTATTTTCATCTGGACTCTGGTTAACCGCTGGACTTTCAATGTGTAAATACAAGATTAATGAGAGTTTAAAGGATAATTTTCATGGAAATATTAATTTGGAAAAAAGAAGAAACTTGAAAACTTTTCTTTTCCTTTTCTTCTCTTTTTCCCTTCTCTCACCTTTCCTTATGAAATGCTTCATGATAATTGATTCCTATTCATTTCAAGTGATGATGAGCCAACATGATGACAATTTTTACCTCATTTTCCAAAAGCAAATAATATCAACAGCTTTTATCAATAGATATTTAAAAGGTAGGTAAACATTATCACAAATAACGGTAAATAATAAAAGCCTTTTCTTTTCCTCTTGACCATTTTTATCATTCAAAATGGGTTCACCAAAGTTTCATGAGATTTAATTGGAAATTTAATTTGCTTTGGATCAACATGTGAAATTTACTTTTCTCTTTGTGGGTAAAAGCGATGATTCATTTTTTGCTCATTAAGTTCGAAATATGATAATTACGATTATTGTAACGTAACAAATTTCACAATTCAATCACACATTTCATTTGGATCCAGTTTCTCTTTAGACAAGAGATGGCAGCAGTCAAGTGGTCCGAACAGTTTATGCATCTTAAAGGTCAACCTTACAAACAGTTAAGAAAAAGGTTTGATTCATTGAGTTGACCTCAGTTGTCGGCTTAGGAAGCACATAAGAGGGCTTGAAGGAAACTTGGATCAACTGCGAGAGCGGCTTTCAAGGAGTTTTCTGTCGATTCTGTCAACTTTATCTATTCTATCCAAATGAACTTTCAAATGACTTCATAGCAGATTTATCATTAAAACGTGAAATTTTCAGCCATTGGACATGATTCCAAAATCTCTGAGAAATTGATTTTTCAGAACTCAGATCGAAAAAATCGAGAAGTTCGAATTCAAAAAATTGTCATTTTCCTTGGACAGACTAATAGCATTAGAACTGCTCTCAATGGACTAGACAAGGTTAAACTTATTAATAGACCAAACTGGAATTGAATTAACTCTTCATCACATAAAGTTTCCCTGAATCAGTTCAAAATGATTTTGCAGACAAAACACAAGCAATCTATACCATATATAAAGTCAAAACATGAAATTTTTGCGTAAAGATTGTGTCCAAACTAAAAGGATTCTAAAGAAAATTTTTTCACAGCCTGAAAGTCATGATTAAACTACATCCACGAAAAATAGTCTGAACTGCATCGGAATTCAGGTACCTGAGAAATAAGCGTTTAAACAGGGTAGGGGAAAAAATGCAGAATCCGTATCTTTTAGCATTGACTTTGGGGGAAAAATTTTTTTGGTTTAGGTTGATTGCTGGTTTATTGTTAAATTAGAAGGATAAGTAAAATCATTTTTCGAGTAAAGAGTTAGGTAAAAAATATGTTGCCTCAACTGTTGAACCAAATTTTATTTTATTTTTTCTCATGTGGATTGGACTTATTGTATTCAGTGAAAAGAAATTTACGATCAGTCATGATCGTGGCTCAGCTTGTACATTTAACAGACAAAACACAAGCAATACATTTAATTACACTTAACTATCGAGAATTGGGTAATTAATTGCAGATTGAAATACCAACTTTGGATTTGCAAAATAAGAGAATCAGAATTTCTAACCAAGAAAAATCATTTCTATTAAATAAATTCAAAATTTCGTCGAATACTCTATTTTCGTTATCTTTCGCTTCAACTGAATTTCTGCTGGAACTCTGAATCAATCAAAAATCGCGAAAAGTCTTAACAAGCGTAATCGAAATGATTAAGTCATCTGCATCCACAATCATTTCTACTCTGTTGAACAGCCATGTAAACAAACGAGAAAAGTTGAAACAAAAATGACGATTTTGATATTCAAATTGATTCTTTGATTCTGTAATTTACTGACCATTTTCACCTTCTTTCGGATCATAAAAGGTACAATAATTTACTCAAAACTGGTAACATTTTATCGGTGACAATTGTTAACTGAAAGTTGATTTTATTCAAAGTTTCATTTTGATTAAAAGCCAAACTTGAAGAGGTGATTCATTAATGGTCAAAGTTGCATGTAATCCTGCAATATCTTGAAGCAATCTTGATGAGAAGGAAAACAAAATTGAATATAAATATAGATTGTAATGTGATAAAATAGAGAGCCTTTTGGTGCACCTTGAAACTGCCAAATCAAATGGTCCTAATTGATTAGCAGATTGTTCATACAAAAGAAGAATCTGCAATCCGAATAATGATCATTATTTTTGCTGGTCAATTTTATACTCTCTCTGTAGTTGCCCATTTAAAGCGAACCACTGTTTTACTCTAAAGATTTAATCATCAATATTGGACTGAGAAAAAAAATATATATTTCGCTTCACTTGGATGAATTTATTACCAAACTCATCAGAGTATATCTCGACTGAATAACAGAATAGCTGGAAATACTCACAAGGATCAGATTTACTTGTAATAACCATGCTAATTAGAAACATAAAACAAAAATAAAACAATAAAAAATAATAACAATTTGAGGGGAGAAAAGAAGAAAAAAACACTTTTCTCTTTTTACCCTGTTTTACAACTAACGGTCTATTTATTCATCTATTGGTTCAACTGAACCCGTCAACAATTTCTCACTTATTCATGTTAATGAGAATCACCATTATCATGGAGAACTTCAATGATCCAATTGATTGCACTGATTTCATCTCATTGGACTCGAGTCAATGGCAACAAATGCTTTTTGTTGTTACTTTTGTTTCTCGTTCTTTCCTTCTGTTGAAATGTTGCCAAGTTTATCTCAATTCAGATCATGAATATTTGTTTGTAAATGATTATATTCTGGTTCAATGTTCAATTGGTTGAAATATCGTAATCAATAAAAGATCAAACAAAGTGTCCAGAAAAAAACTATCAGTCCATTATGATTGAGGAATAATAATAATGATAATGATTATCATTTAAACGTGACCATTAGGAAATTATTCCCGATTCTCATCAATATTGAATAATAGAAAATGTTTGAATAATTTTCTTTCGACTCATGAAAAATTTCATGTTCAAGTTAATCAAAGTGTGAAATGATTCAAAATGTTTTCCAAAATTGATTAACTTTTCAATGATTAACATTTGCTTCATCAGATGAAAATTTTCATAAAAATAGATTTCAAGTATTCAGCTAAATTTAGATGAACATTGAAAATCTTAATTTCGAGATTCAATTTTTGTTCCAAATGAATCTGTCAAAGAAAGTGAAACAAAATGAAGATTCATTTTCTCATTTTTTCTGTTTTAATATTGAACCAAGGAAACTGGAAACGATCAAAATTTGTGACAATCTTTAATTTCACAGTTTGAGAAACTCATTTGCACTCGAAATCAGAAGGAAATCGATGTTACCATGAGAAGAAAAATTTGAAACCAACTTTCGAAGATGAACATTCAAGTGTTCAAATAGAGAAAAGGTGAATAATTAGAAATTGAGATTTCTCTAGAAACCCTTATCATGATAATGATTCAGATAATTATCAATCATGATGAGCCCTGATAATGAGGCTCCAATTAATCACAGAAAAGTGTATTTACAGAAAGACAAGAATATCGAATCGTGAAAAGTTATTGGAATAAATTTTGCAAATTATTCTTGTCTATCAATCTAATAAGCAAAAGTTGAAGTTTAAACAATCAAAAACTATTAATGATTTGCTTGATACACCTTGAATCATTGAATGCTAATAGGTTTTCCTTTTTTTCTCTTTTTTTCTTTCTTTTTCCAAATGAAAATATTTCTCATTTCATTTCATATTTTCTTCCTTTTCTATTCCAACCTCACCCAATCTTTAAATGAAGATCAATAGCTATTCAAATAATAGATTAACATCATTAACTTTTCACTCTACAATCAGTAATGTTATCTATTGACCCTGATGATGATGGTAATCAAAAGGTGATCCTGATTTGAAGGCAAAACTCTTGCCTTTTCTGTCCAAACATTTTCACTCCCAGTCACTACTGGGAATGATAACGATAAACTAATCCTCAAAGTCTTTTCCTCTTAAAATGAATAAACATAAAAATTTTGAATCAAAATTTCGATTTTCATAAAAATTCTTTTTCCATGGAAAAATAAAAATTGAACAAAATGCCGCGAAAAAAAGTGCCAATTAATCGATTTCCTCGAAACCAAAATTCCAAGTCGACTATTTTTCGTTGCAATTTTGACACAATTTCGCAAAATGAAATTGGCAAACATTTCATTAAACTCAGTTATTAGTTATATCGATCGATGATCCTTAATTAAAGTTGATTTCATAAATTGTCATGTCAAGTTGAACAGTCCAAGAAGAGTTTCAAAAATGGTTCAAGAGGAAAGAGGAATGATGAAAAGATGAGAATCGCAATCAACTTTGAATATCTTAATTAATAAAGAAATGGTTGAGACGAAAATACAAATTGTTGAAATTATAGTTATTATGAAAGGAGAGTGTTGATCAAAAATCAGTGTTCAACTGCAAACTGTTAACAATTAACTGTCAAAAAGTTTTACATGCAATTTTCACACAACCTGTACATGGAAGACAAGAACAAAGGATTCAATACGTAATTGATGAGTATTCCTGCGCCATTATTTTTGCCTCTCTTCTCCTTCTTTGTCAATTCATCTTTCATTTCTCTTCATCATCATCATCATCATCTTTCACTTCTCTCTCTCCCCTTTAATCACTATTATAAATTTTCCATTGCGCACACAACATATTCTCTTCTTTTTCTCAATTTGACTATTTTCATCTCATTTTGCATCCTCATCACTCCCTTAGCATCCCACTTTACTCCCAGAGAGTTGCCGAGTGAGCATCTTCTAATTGCATATTTTCCCCTCTTTGGCTCTCTCTCTCTCCTTTCAACTTTGGGTTTAGTATTATTTCACTTTCCTGTCAATTTAGATTTAATTTTAATCATCACAACTGCTGCTTTTTTTGTTGGCTTCACAAGCATTTCTTGCTTCACATAAATTCATACATTGAAACACATTGCTTCAGTTACTCAACGAAAAAACGTTTTCATTCAACTTTTTGTTGACTCTCTTCATCTGTTTACTGTGTCAGTGTTTACACATCCTCGTGTTGTTGTCTTTTCCCTTCAACAGCTGATCATTTTGTGTATACTCGTGTTTACTGTGCAAGTTTCTTACCTTTTCTGTGCTTGGTTTATCATCTCACTTTATCCATCTTCTTCATCCATTTGACTCTTCGGCTTTTCCCTTTCAACTCACAACGGTAAGCAACTTTGCTAAATTTGGGTAAAAAACTTTCATCTTTCAAGTTGTCAATGAAAATGTCTTGTTACGTGCGTATGAATTTTACCTTCATTTTCCCATTCAACTTGTTTGTTTATCACTTGGTCTTCAAATGTTGGCTGAAGAAGATGAAAACAAATATGAAGAGAGGGAAAAAAGAAAGATTATGATGAATAAAGAAAAGGATTGAGAGTGAGTTGTGAGTGAGAAGATGGTAATGAAAGGCAAGAAAAGAGTTGATGAAGGAGAGAGAGAGAGAGCAAAAAAGAATGGAAAATGAGAAAAGAAGAAAGAGAAATGAGAAAATAAAAAGAATTGTGCATGTTAAGTTGAGTTTATATTCGAGGAATGATGATGAAAGTGATGATGATGATGATGCAAAGATTGTCTCATCAATCGGTAGAGACGATCGATATTGGGAGCAAATTACTTACAATTTTAGTAAAGTGAGTAAAGAGTGAATGAATGAGAGAGAGAATCGAGAGAGAGAGTTTTCTGGGGGGAAAAGGTTAAAGAAATTAAGTGCAAAAAGGAAAATGAAGAAAGATTGAAAAAGAAAGAAAAAATTAAAGAAAGGCGGGAGTTGAAAGAGTAAAGGGGAATTAAAGAGGGAACTTGAAAAATAATGAAAAGTAAATGATGATGAAGATGAGGATGATAAAATTAGTGACTGCCTTATGGTTGCTTGTCATCAAATGAATTCTTTTCAAATGAGCATTCATCAAGAGAGCAGAAGAAGACGAAAAAAAGTAAGAATAAGTTTTACAAGATGAAGAGAGAGAGAGAGAGCAAAGAGAATCTCAATTTTCTTGGAAAATCATCATTCAATTGAATGCTGTGTGTCATATCCAATCCAAAGCCAATTAAATACCTGTCAACTTGATTCAACTGAGCCTTTGAAGAGTAAGAAGGAGAAGAAAAAAAAGAAGCCGAGAAAAAAAAGAAAGAGTAAAAAATGGTTCAACAAAGTATAATATTGTATAAAACGGATAATGAAAGATGATGAAGGTGGAGTTTAGGTGAGTGAACGAACTGGCGAACAAATGTTGGAATCTGAAGAAAAGGAAATTGAGCAGAAATTAAATATCAAGTATTATTTAGTTTTTCTTCTTCTTCTTCTTCATCTTCCTTTTGCTCCAATCAAGAACTTTTTGCCTGCTCAAAAAATGCATTATTTTATGTTCATTTGATATCATTTTTTCTTCAACCTCTTTTTTTCCTCTTGTTTTTGCCTGTTCGATTGTGCCATTTCGATAGTTAAACATGATTGTTATCAAGAATTGAAATTGAGAATCAACTCATTTTCTCTTGGGTTAACTTTGTTCGCTCCACTTTTTCTTTTTCTTCTTCCAAGTTGTCAAATTTTCTCATGTGTTACAATGTCAATTGTTGATTTATCAACATTTCCTTCTGTTCATCATGGTGTAACATTCATGGTAAACAGAGTTCTACTTTTGCATCTCTTTCAATCTTTATTTACAATACAAATGTTTCTCAATGTTAATCATCTTTTTTTTATTTCCTTGTCATAAACATCTTTTTTTGCCTTCTTTTGGTTCTGCCAATTGCAACAATATTGATTTCAAGTCTTATGCTTTTTTAAAGCCTCTTTTTATGGCAGTTTAATAATAATCAGTTAATTATTTTAATGTGAATATAAATGATGACAATCCTTTCTTTTTTACTCTTTTTTTGAATCATTAAGCGTGATCATCATAATGGTGTAGTTGAGTTCATTTCAATCAACTTATTTTTGTCACCAGATGATATAAAATACTCTTTCTCTGGTTTGGGGAAGATCTGGAAGAAAGTAATCAGAAGGAAAAGTTATTGATGATAAGAGAGTTTCAAGAAATTGAGAAAATTGGAAATTTGGTTAAATTCATTGTGAACATTGAATAATAATGTAAAGTCAAAAGTAGAACACAGATTGACATCGATCGATTTAAAATCGATAAATGGTTAGAGAGAGTAAAGGGAGGAAAGAAGAGAAATGATGATGATGATGATGATGATTTAATGAGAGAGAAAAAGGGAAATAAATGCAAAGGAAGAAAAAGTTTTTACTCTCAATTAAATGATATTTTTTCCTATACAATTGATGCTAAAAGTTATCAAGAGAAGCCAAAATATTGGGAAAATCAGTCAAACTGAGGCAACTCAATGAATTTACCATTGATTGGAATCACTTGCAAAATCAAGTTCAACAAGTTCAAGACTACAAAAGATTTTACCCAATTCTATCTTTTAAGTATGCAAATGATTCTTTCAAAATTCATCACTCCCAAAGAAATCAAAGGGAGTCATTTAAATCCCTTCAAATCCGCCAAGAATTCTAGCAATTTCAATCAAAAAATATTCTATTGAACATCTTTGATAAAAATAATTTAATCACGAAATTGAGGCTAAAAATGACATCGATCTGAATATTAGTATCGTGATTTCATTTTTGCTCATAAATTATAAACCTTTACATTTTCGTTATTTACTAAAATTGTCTTGATTTGTGCGTAAACTAATTTTAACGAAGTTAAAACACTGGCCTGTATTCAATGTTCAGTTGTGTTTATGACGAGATCAGAAATTAAATAGTTTAATGAAAAGAAACTGGAGCTACTCGTTGACGAATCTTCTGCTTCTGAATTTAAAACTTGAAGAAACATTGAAAGCTTTTTTGGAAAATGTTTCATTTGGTTTGGTTTGATGCAAGCTTAGGAGTAAGGAATAAACTAAACGTCAAGTAATCAATTGAAATCGAGAAAGTCAATGAAACAGTGTTTATTCAATTCAAAGATCAATTAATCAATGATTTTAGCTTTAAAATGCAAGTTAGTTTAGATTTGATCAAAGGCAACTCCAAGTTGAACCTTTCTCAATCTTGGAAATCTCGTAAAGTTAGATTTCTCTTACATTATTCTTCCCTGATCTTGATCCTGACTTTTGTCACCCAAATTGTCTTAAATAACAGAGAAACTTGAACAGCATCAAATATATCACAATGATTTTGCTCTTCGCTAAGGATCACTTCGAAAGATACATTTTTCCTTTCATATAAGTCTCACAGTTTAAGCGAAGAAACGAAACTCAAAGAAAACTTAGTTTCGATCTAACGAAACCACAAGAAAGCTTTTGCACTAAGGAACTGTGATTTAAACACGAATAGTACATTCAGCGATTGAATATTAAATGTTTGGGTTTCCTTCTTTGCATTTGCCTCTAGTGCTTTAACCACGATTGCAGCGTAGAAATATATTGTTCTATTGCATTTCATAGAATGAATCGAAATATTATTCTATTGAATCTAACATCATTATTCGGTTTAAGAAAAGCATTCAATGTGCACATTCAAGTGCTGCTATTGATCATGTTTAGCAATTAATTGAGAAACCGTTGATCAATCAGCCAATTTGGAACTCGAGTAAAATTACTTTTCCTATTTCTGAAAAGTAAATGAGTGCTAAATACGTCAACACTTTTTGCATGATTGTGAACATAATGTTGAAGAAGAAAGAAAACAGAATTAAAGTGAAATGTTATTCTGGTGATGAAAATGTCAAAATGTCAATATTGGGTAAAAGTGAACACGAATATTGTTGGTAAATGTAAATTAGATTTACAATTGGTAATCACAATTGTATAAAATAATTGGTTGATAAAGAGTAAAATCAATCAACAGAGTAAACACAGAAAATGAATCAGATTTTTCCATGTTATATTTACTTGAAATGTTAATACAAAATCAAATCATTATCGATTGAGTGAATAATAATAAAAGAAGCAAAGGAATAACCAATGAAACATTTTCCATTGAACCAAATCAAAATTTTCATTTTCATTCTAATTTACAATTTTCCCAATTGAATCCCAATCAATGAAACGTTTTACAAATGAAATGGGAAGAGCAAAGAAACAAGAAACCAAAGAAGAAAGAACGAAAAAAGAAGAGCAAAATTCAAACTTGAAAACTTGTATTATTTACTGATTAAACATTAAACTTGAGTTTAACAAATCAACAAATCGATCGCAAAGCTGCATGAAAATTGAACACAATTGAAATTCATAAGTTTTCCTTCCTTCACTTGATAACCAAAGTCAATGACTAAAAAGGTATCAATAATCTTTAACTTGGTTTACTTTTACTGGACTCAATGAACTTTGTTTTGCTTCTTTCCTCTTCAACTATTTCCTTCTCTCTCTCTCTCTCGAACTTTCTTCCAGTGACCTTGACCCAGTCTCTATTTTCATCTCACCATTCTTTATCATCATCATCTTTTTCTCTTTTTCTTTCCTTCTTTTTCCATGCTCTGCTCAGTGTGAAGATTCACAGGAAAAGTGGTTAACTTATTCTATTATATGCTGTGGCTGCCTTTATGGGTAGTAAACAACTCGGAAATCTGTCAGACTGTTTAGACTGACTTAACGAGTGAAGATCAAAAACATTGTGCAGTTTTTTGGGGGATTTTCCGTTTCGACTTGAATTTTGATTTTCTGCATTCTATGCGATCGTGCTTTCCTTCTGTAATGAAGATTTTCTTTGGGTTTGCAATCAAGCGATCTTATATGAGTTTATTTTGTGAACAATTTCAGTTCATTTCAAATTGCATTGTCACTTCATTTGGAACTCAACTTTGAAAATCTTTTAGCTGCATTGATGGATTTAAAACAAAGATTGAACTTACAGAATCGAGAAAATTTACTTGAATTAAGAATCATTTAGGCATCAACTTAGTTCAATGATCAGAGGTTTGTGCTTTAATTGTACGCCAATATATGCAGATGCAAGAATAGTCGAATCAAGTTGTGAACAAATGAGAAAAGCAACAAAAGCATGACTTCGGGAAATATCAAACTTCGTTGGATTACGCTATGCAACTCATTTCTAAGTTGAATTATTGATTATCATTCATTTTACAATAGAAATTTGTTTTATTTTGAATGTATTTCGATTGTAAAGCGAGAATTAATCGAGAGTTAAGTTGC